CTACTGGTCTGTATTATGTTTTAAGGAATTTTATGTCTGTGAAAGAAATTACTTCATTGATCTAGGGTTCTCTAGTGCGACCGCTTAGTAAAAGATGCCTAATTACATTTCTGGGGCAATCAAAGGTAATATTAGGCCTTTCGATTCGAAACTCTATAACAGCAAAGAATACCCTTTCAACAACCTAAAAATAGCCTTGGGCTTTATTAAGTCGGACTCATAACACTCTGGTATAAAGGAGCGAAAATGATATAATACTGAGCGGAAAATTAATTTACTTTCAGATCGCAGACCTGGAACCCCACTTGGTGTTGATTGGTGGAGGTATATTGGTGACGTGTGCGGTGCTCCGTGCCATCGTGACTAGCACCTGTGCCGTCCGCAGCAACCTCAACATGAAAGAGAAGATCTTCGTCGGTCTCGCCTGGATGGCCAAAGCTACAGTACAGGTAAAGACAATACATATACACAATACATACAATTGACTGCACGGTTGGTGCGGTGGCTGGGCAACCGGCTGCCGTGCAACGTATCGCGGGTTCGATTCCCGCACGGAACAACACTTTGTGCGATCCACAAATTGTTGTTTCGGGTCTGGGTGTCATGTGTATGTGAACTTGTATGTTTGTAAACGCACCCACGACACAGGAGATAATCCTAGTGTGGGGCAACGTTTTCATTAAAAAACAAAAAAAAACAAAACAATTCACGAATCCCTTCTAAGATCAAATAATAATAGATCGCTTTTATATTGTACCATAACTTAAACTATGTCCCTCTAAATTCGCTTACTTTTCTGACTGTATTCTAAGTTCTAAGGGAGCGCTTGAACTGGTATCATAACTAGCCAGAAGTGTATATCCGCATGTATTAATAGGCTAAATGTTTTCGATTATGACCAATGTTTTTCCTTCAGGCCGCTTTAGGACCAGTTGCTTTGGATGAAGTACGTAAAATGGCCGGCGGAGAGCCCGACCCAGTGATGATAGAGTACGCAGAGACTGTCATTACAGTGTGTATCATGTCGATCGTGATCACCGCACCCATCGGAGCCATCGTCATCACGCTCACTGGACCCAAACTACTCTCAAGAACAACTAAGCCACCTGTCTTGGAAGGTAAGATTTATTTTTCCACTTTACTTCGTTTAACACATAGGTATAACCTTGCTAAGTTCTCAGTGTGACCATAATTACAAAGATGAGTCGCTAACAAAAATATGTGGATAAACAACTATGACACTACATATATAGCCCATTCGATGCCTTCTATTCCATTTACTATACGATAATTGCAATATAAAATAACGAACATGTTTTATTCTACAAATCATTTAATGTATGTATACATATAAGAATCAAAATAGCACTATAAACTAACAAGCAAAGATTAAAAAATGTTATAATTAGGTAGTACAACGATAAATGTTAAAAATGTTTACAAATTAATACACGTTTAATGATAAGAAAAGTTTTGCGGTGGCACTCTACGAGGATCATATGCAGTATTATTTTTTTGAGAATAGAAGAAATTATTTTGGACTGAATTTTGAGAAGGGTAGCTGGGAGCAGTAGGATTGTAAGGATTGTAATTATTATTATTGTATGGAGTTGGTCCGTAAGGGGAGCCATTAGGCTGCATGGGTAGTGGAGAAGAGTTATTATAAGGAGGATACTGACCGGGACTCGAGTACGGTGGACGTTGACCACTCGAATTGTACGGCTGGACTGGATGTACATTTCCGGATGAAGGATAGTTATTGTTGTAAGGCAATTGACCTGGGTATGATGAGTTGTATACGTTTTGCCCTGGACGAGTGTTATAAGGAGCTAAAGGAGTGGAGTAAGTAGAATTGGGTGGTCTATAACCTGGATACGGTGAAGAATTGAATGTTTGATTTTGGAGAGGATGTTGCCCATATGGTGGTTTGTACGGATAACCTGCAGTTGAAGTATTAGAAAATGGGTAATTAGAATGAGGATTGTACGGATTTTGACCCGACGGATTATAAGTACTTGGAGTAGGATTGTAAGAACCTGGTCTTGAAGAATTGTATCCGTTCGGATTCCATTGTGAAGGCTTTTGGTAAGGGTTTAGGCTTGATGAATTATAACCTGGGTATTGATTAGGATTTGGAGTGTATGGATTGTAACCTGGAGGGTGCTGATTTGGGTTTGGAGTATAGGGATTATAACTTGTCGGTTGCTGATTTGGATTTTGAGTATATGGATTGTAACTAGGCTGTTGAGGATTTGGAGAATAGGGATTATAACCAGGTTGCTGTTGATACGGATTGTACGGAGACCCAGATGGTAGCTGTGGATATAGCGGTGTGTAACTGTGAGCTGCTTGCCGTCTCTGCCGTTTGATTACGTCATCTGCTGCTCCATTAGTAGTTTTCTTGACTAAACCTTCATTATGATCGCGGTACTCTTCGCCTGTTAAAAATAAGCCGATGTCGTTTTCTGCTGCAACTTCCAAATCATTTTCATCTTCTATCAATGGCTCCACAATTTGAGGTGACACAATGTCCAAATTATCGCGTTGAGAATTGTCACTCACTCCATTTCTGTTAATTTTTAATCCACAAATGCCACTGCATAATACTAACACTAATACAGCTGTATAGGGTCCGTGCACTATTCCCAACATTTTAATGATTACTGGAAACCAACATCACATACACAATACTCACAAAATAGTGGTCGGATAAACTTCGACCTTATTTATCTAACGATTCAACGTATGTATGCGCGATAGACACAAGAGATCATGACTAAACCTTGTTCTTGACAAGCTGTATATGTAGAGGTACGTAGCTATGTACGCGGCCGAGTTTTATAGGCACTAATTTTCCTGTTCGTGTTCGTCTTTATACAGGGATGTCTTTTGTTCATGTATGTAACGTGTGAATATTTTTATAAAGGTTGGCGTCGATCCCACCGGCCGTCTATTCGCGACATATCTATTATCGACGAGGAGGAGGTGGCGGAGCGCGATGCGGAGGCGGAGGCGGAACACTCGCGGCCGAGCAGCCCGAAGGCCCGGCCGGCGGTGGCCAGCAGCACTCCAGCGCCCATCACCGTGCAGCCCGGACACAACAGCTCTTGACTGCCATAACTTCTACAACACTTCGATCACTGCTGCCATTCCATTTGCGACCTTGTTCGACCCTACGTTTACTATGAGCTGCTTAATGGTCTCGTATAAGTTATTGATACAGGGATTTAGTAAGACGACGCTCACACGAAGCCGTTCTGTAATGGATGCGCGCTACAACGACGTGAGTCATTTTGTTCGAAAGATATTCAAATGCCTGTCTGGGCATTAGCATAACACAACATGTGTACAGCCGTGTAGTCCGGTTTCACCTTCATTTACGAAATTGGTACAGAGAACCTACGAATGTATAAATTGCCTAGAGATGCTTTTCAGTTACAGAGAAGTAAAGTTATTTTCGTCAAACGTTTATATTAAACTTGCATATTTTTTTAATATTTTATGTTGAGCAACACATAGTACTTAACTCAGTGAAGTCGAGGTATACCTAAATACAAAAAGTTGATATTTTATAAATATCTTTTATATTCATTGTACACTGCTATCGTAAATATAAAGGACCAGTAAAATAATTTCTAAAGCAATTTACACCACTTTGAAGATATTGTTTCTTACAAGAATTAGGTACTTAGAGAGGGTTTAGTTTAAGATATAGTAGTTGTATAACGTTCATGTGATAAAGGTGTATACTTAATTATTTGGTGTTATATAAAACCTCGCTAGTGATGTTTTACTATAAAATATTACCGCTGTAAGAACATATTTAACTTATAAGAACTTTGTCTACTTTATTCCTATAGGTTTTATTTTGCATAGTGGTCATCAGTATTGCTATTATTTATGAAAACGATTTAGCTTAGGTATCAGAACGAATGTTAATGTTATTCGGTACAAACAATTATTAATTACTTTATGTAAGGCTCAATGCAGCATATCCATTGCTCATTGTCGATATGTATTTTAGGTAATTAGGTAGTCTGTATATTATGTGTAAAAATGTTTCTTCACCTTATAATGTACGTATGGATATCTACGTACTGATTAGTTTTGTATAGTATCATTTGTAAATAACACCCCAAGTCACATTTTTATGTAAGTACTTATATGCATCGTGGAATTCAATTATTTTAGAGTGAACTGTGGGACCAATTTATTTTTGTAATAATGCCACATTACCGTAATTGAACATAAAGTTGTTATAACTAAACAGACATCGCTTATCACGAAGTATTATTCTATTATTAAATTGAATACTATTTACTATAATTGTAATATCAACAATGTCTGTTTTCTACACTATTCATTAAAAAATTATAATATTATGTAATATAAAGAATAATTGTTTCAAATATCATGATGAAATTATCGAAAAAAGTATAAAAGCAATAAAATATTTACAAAGACATTCGATTGTTGTACGTTTATTTTTAGTATTAATTGATTTCCCGAAACATCAACTTACAAAATGTTCTCTCCTGAGCTATATAGATAATTTCTTATTAGAATAATATAGTGTGAACGAAAATGGGAGAGAGAGCCATGGCCGGTCACCATTTGTTTTTGGCGTGAATCCCAGACAGTTATTCAACCTCTGAGTAAACAGTCCGTTCATAGCGTTATTATAGGTCACGGTTATTGTGATAAACTAGGCACACACACAGACCAATAAATTCTAGACCAAACAGCCTAATAAAACTGTACGTAATTTTGTTAAAGTAATAACACAGTCTGCTTAAAAAAAAATAGCTGTGAAAATAAAAAGAAGAAAGTTCAATAACATAACATTAGGCCATACAGTCTAAGAATGGTTTAGATGAGTTTTTACTTTTAAGAATTTTAATATAGCTTCACCATTCGCTAGCTACATTTTTTATCAGTCCCAAAAAGAATTAACTCCAAGTTTAAATTTTCCGAACAAATGAATAAAAATAAAATTGGAATGAAGAATGTTTTTATTTTTTCGTCTTTTCCTAATCCATTTTTTTATTCTAATTAAAAATATAGATTCGTGAAGGCGTTATACATTCTAAGTGTTTTATCTAATCTTATATTTAATTATTATGCATAATAACTATTAAAACTAGGTGCTCTGAAGGTACATTGTGGAACATAATATTGGTTGCACATATATTGGATTTGTGTAACATATACAACTTATATTAAATCTAACTATGAGATGATCGTAGGATGAACGTGGTTATGTAGAAAATGTAGATTTAATTAAATTTCAACACGTATAAACATTATTTATATAGCTGTCAAAAAACTATTATAAAATTATTTTTTATTCACGTTTCAAATATTCAGTCAGAGAGCGTCACACAGCGTTCTTACAAAGCTGATTACAATGGGGATCCAATGTAAGTAAAATACTTTTCTTTTGATTTAGAGACTAGTTTTTTAGTGAAAAACGTCTTAACGAGCGCTGTCAGAAACCATAAGTCATAAAAACAATACTTTAGAGCCCTGTTTTTGCAAAATACAAAAAATGCTGCTAAAACAAATTGCATTGGCTTTTGCGAAATTACACAGGGCTCAGCTTCGTAACATTATCTTACATTACAATAGTACTATGTAAAATTATAAAAAAGAAATACTGTTTTATTAAAGAGATACTTTAGCAATCTGCCAGGTAAAAATAAACAAACATGGTAAGTAATGTGACAAAAATACTAATGTAAGTTGACTAAAATAATGTTTTTTTTTTTCTTCTTTGGCAATCGAGTCTCCAAAACGGTTTTGTCGACCATATTGCCAGTGTCGAGTGGTGAAAATGAACATGTTAAAATTCCATCAAATAAACAAACGTGTGCTTGTATGCTTAAATATAAGGCTTCTGGAAGATTCAATCTACCTTCAGCACATTCATTTACAAAGGCACAAGTAATTGGTAAAAATGCAATTAATTATACTACTATTGTATAGCACCGTAACATCTTAACACAGAAAACAGCTGATTTCATTAGACATTAATTTCAAATCCAAGTACTTCCATCACAGATCCCAACAAAGCTTTTGAAGATTTATCTTTGCATAAGTAAATAAGTCATCACTCATTTATTACCGGTTAAAATTTAATTATATTCATATCAAAATTGTTTTGATTACTAAAATTAGTCTTGAAGTCTTCCTTTTTTTTTTGTTTTTATAGGTCGTCAATGCACAAGTCGAAGATAACTTGATCCTTATAAATATTTCATTTAACAAACTAAATAGCGTTAACAATATTAATATGAACAGCAAAGTATAGAAGGTAGACAAACGAGTGAGGACCTAAATCAATACTTTTCCAAGGTTCCACTTGGATCAACAATGTGCGTATTGTCTATTAATCACCTAACGCACCTATGTATGTATGTACATTTATATAGTTATGGAATAAGACAGTATACTTAAAAACTAACAGTTATATTGTATAATGTGTAATTAAAACTCAAGATTTGTTCAAAACAGCCTCCATGTTCGCATAGGCACTTCACTCACAATCATATTTTTATGTTAGACTTTAGAGCCTCTCATTCATACAACCAAAGCATATCCAAAACATTTCAAGTCCACAAAATGAACGATGACAGTTTAATAATCACTTAATCTATGACTAGATCAATATTAATATAATTTTGAAAAAATATTAAAATGTAGACGGTGATTCGATGCCAACAAGTACATGCTATCAGAAGCAAATTATTGTGTCGGATAATATATACAGGCTGTGGCCGAAATAAAATTAAATAAATTCAACAATTTCTTCTTTTTTAAAATTGTAAAATCCAAAATAGAATTTTCCCTGAAGACTTTTATATAGTAATTTTTCCACTCATTATAAATAAAAAAATAATAATAAAGTTATGTAACGCATGTTTAATAATTTCGGCCACAGTAACCTGAATATGCAGATTTAGGAGTGACTCCACACAGTTAGGGCTGCTTGACATTGTTCTGTAGAGAGAGCCGCGTGTTGGTGCGCTCGTCAGTGCTGAGCGCTCGAGACAGGAACGTGGAAGACGTCCGTGCTGACGACGATGTACCGTTCTTCTGAGCATCCGGCTTCTCCAACCCTGTTATATATTAGTAAAATATTAGTCACTATAGCACCAAACATATAATTATGAGCGGATGAAATCCTTTTTTAAATGAGGGACTAAAGTTAAAAAAGTCTTTAATACGCGTCTTTCAGTCGATCGTTTGTAATTAAAAAGTTTAGTAACAAATATCTCTATTTTTTTTAAATCAAAATAGTTCATAGTATAAAATGTGAAACTTTTGTAAAGGCAAAACAATTAAAATCAAAGCCTTGTAATGGTTTGAATAATAAAAATTATGGATTTTATGTACAAGAAAGGATCTTGCTATACATTTCAGAAGGAAGCTAATCGAAAAAAAATCACAAAACAAAGAAGAATAATTGTGTAGATAGAACCTTACGTCTTGGTACTTTCTGTGAAAATAATTGACAGATTTTATTTGAAACAATGCGTACATGGTGTTAATTATATTATTTTATGCATTTAACTGGAATAACACATTTACAATTCAGTGTGAATTTAATAGATTATTCATTATTTTTAGGTTTGCTTCACGAACTTCGTGCATATTTTGTAACACCATGTAATTTTGTGAAACAAAAACGATGTCGTGTTGACAATCATAAAGGGTGCACTTTGGAAGGTTATTAATTAGACATAAGGGACGGATTAAGTAGATAACGCTATCTAAATTAATTCATAAATTATAAAACAACAGTGCATATAGATACCTAATCACACTTGTAATGTTAGCTCAGTGTGTGTTAATTAAGCGAATTCATCACAGCGAGCTAGGCGGGACCACGTTGAAAGTGGTGTTAAGTTAGAATGAAAAGTGAACATTAGGCAACAGAACAATACAACGTTCAAAATTAATTAATTTGTCTAATATATACTTGTGTCAATCGGTATCGATGAACAACCTGAAAACAATAAAATCATCTCTCACATATTGTGAAATTGGTGCACGAAAAATAACACACGTTATCAATTTATCGAATTTGAGTCAGACACTTGAGACAAATAATTCTTTGAATATAGATAACAGCAGCTAATCACAATACTGAAATAAATTATGATAAATATATTTGGCATTCATCGTTCGTAGTATCGGTTGATTGTTGTAGAAAACACGTGTGTGCACAATGCACAATGATTGAATCCTTACTACCTTTAGACATTTTTATAACAAAATAATCACGTAAAACGGTAGTTTAATATCTTTGTTATTCGTTTGTGATTACCTCATCCACTATTTGTATTCAATACAGTCATAAAATAAGTTTTATGAGTACATTACTTGAGACACTCGGATCGCTATAGGGCCAACCAACAAAAATATGACTATCTAACTTACCTAGCCGCTTTCTGATGAGATAATAAAGTTTGGGCTTCATAACTAGAATGAGGAAGATAAAAACTCCTTGGAGCTCGTTGATTAGGTCGATGATGGTCCACAACCACCACGGCTGTGATACTATCGTGGACATTAGCTCGGAGATCCAGCCGGCACCCATCACTATCCAGAGTTTACCGGTCAACACGTACCTGTGAACGCAAATTACATATTGTTAACGTACCTATTATAACATTTTATTACTATTATTACAACTTAACTTTATTCGTTAGAATAAAGTATATATTATGTATAAGATCATCTAGCTGCTAACAGTGTAGTTCACGTGATATTTGTATATCTACATGATATCATTCCACTTGCCGTAATACATAGTCATTGTTTCCTAGCTAAGCTACTAGGTGATCTGCTGACCTACTAGGACACAAGATAGGGTGAATATATATAAAACCGCCTCTGTGTACTGATCTAAGCTGGTATATGTTCTATATATTTGACATTAAAATTGCATTAAATATTTTGGTCTTACAAATCAATTTTACCTTATAGTTTCATTGGTAACGAAACCATAGCTCGATTTTAATTGCGACAACGCCATCTATCGAGCTATGAGACAAATTTGAACAATAATATTTTTTGACTTCAACAATCAGTTTGGTCTTGAACAGTCATCGCGTATTAATATTTGCAGTATTGTTATATATCATTTTTGTCATATTATTTTATGTATGCCATACATAAAATAATATGCCATGCCATTATACTTTTAGTAAACGTTGGTTAAGTCTTAAATCAAAGTTTACGACATCTACAAATAGTTACTCTAGTATCTATTCAGGGCTAAATCGATTGTCAATTTTATGAGACGGGACTTTTATGTTTTACTGGCGACCCACCCTTTAGGAATTTATAGGGAAATGGGCGCCGTGGTATTTCTACAAGGCCATCTAAATAACCGTAGGACTTAAATTAAGAAAAAATGTTTTACGACTGTCTTTTGTATAAGGTTGAAGAATGCCGTTTAAACGAGAGAAGTTCGAGGTCATAACTTCAAATCCTGACCGCGCCAATTGTTTTTCAATTTAACTACTCAGGCTTGATATCATCCTCCTAAAATGTTGCAATTTATAGTTTTTTAATTGAATGGGGAGATATTAAATGCGTATAATAATAACATTGTTTGTAGTTCGACACGTAATGAACTGCATGTAAAGTGCCCATTTATCACTCAGTAGATTGTAATGGATTCCTTGTGTGTCATTGTCTTCTATTTAGATATGAACACTGTTACTTTGTTATGATAAGTGAAGAAATTCTAAAAACACTCTAAAAATTAAATAAAAACAATTTAAGATACAAATTATCCTTATAAAAATACGATGGTCCAAATCAATGAAAGAAGAAACAAACTTAAATAAATATTTATAAAAAAACAAATGATCCAAGCCATTATGTCCCATGATATGCAGAAATACTATTTAAAGAAACTGCGTTATCACATTAAGCAGTGACTGTACCTAATTACAATTAACATCCCATAAAAATAGCGCCAGTTCTTCCCCGAATACGTTGACAAAGAACTGCAAGTACATTTTTCAATACAAAGGTAAATTGTTTTTATAATAACTATCGAGAGACATACTAAAAATCGCGGGTAGAGGTGCTCCCGCACAGCAGTTTTATAACGTTAGAGACTAGTTAACATTTGTTTTTAAACAAATTATAACAAATTTGTAGTAGTAACTTGATAACATTTTGTAACATACTCCACAACATGTGTAACATGTTACACAATGTGATATAACTTTATACAACAGCTGTGTGAAAGCACCTTTACACACGTAAACATACTGAGAAAAGCTCTACTAGTTTCGAACTATAGAACGGTTCTTCCTCATGAACAGCGTGCGCGGTCGCGGCGATCACGATGTCGCGCAGCCTACTGACATTCACAAAGGTAAATAGAGAATTTTCATAAATATTTTGCTCAATCCGGGAAGTAGGCTCATTACCTTGTACTTACTCAACTCATGGCTACTTTATCGATTAAATTATCGAAGAAACCAAAAATGTAATAATCTTACACAATACAAAATAATGTAATGTTCGTTTAAGCTCTAAATGTAATTGGCAATGAAACTTATGCAATTCAATGTATTCTGTTAAAGCCCGAATACTGAAAGGCTACTCAATTTTAAGTTGTATTTAAATATCGTGCCATCTCTGTCAGTTTACAAAGAATTTATAGTGACAGAACTATACTTAAGCGTGACTTAAAATTGAGTGACGTTTGAGTATATGAACATAAGACTTACATAACAAAAGTAGTTTGTAATTACGAAGACCTACTTCCATATTGTTATTGAATACAGATTGATGCGGAAATTACGCGCACAATATTAAATACTTCCAATAAAAAATATTCCCTGACTTTAACGACAATGTATTTGTTTACAATTTACCTGTTCTTTGGAAAATCCAAATTTACTTACACTAGTTAACGTCAGTAGGTAAGCACAGACAGAGGCAATGGTCAGTATCGTACGTTGCACAAAAGGAAAATTATTTATGCAGTGACATCTTACTAATATTATAAATGTGAAAGATTTCAGTGACGTTGTGTGTATGTTTGTTACTCAATAACTTCGCAACGGCTGAAACGATCGGGATCAAATTTTGAATATAGGTAGATTATAGTCTGGAAGGTAGGCTACATGATATAGGCTAACTTTTATCCCACAGGAACGTAAGCGTGGCCGCTGGCACAAGTTAGTTATTGCTTGATTTTTTTTCATAAACTGGTTTAGGAATAATACAATACAATTGTTTTCCCAATTGAGTAATATTCTAAGTGAAAGTACCAATATGACGTCCAAAAAACCCAAAATATGGAACAATATTGTTCTTATTGAAAGCTTTATTAAGAATTGGTTGGCTAGCCGCCGCGTTAATTAATTGCCTTCCTATAAGTACCTAGCTACAGCCATAACAGAAATGACACGACCGAATCATATAGATAATAGTTAATGAAATTATTGCGTAAGCCCGTAGCTTATTATTAGTATACGGGGAGTTCAAAAAAAAACAAATAATAAGAATTATAAGTTAAATATAAAAATGATCTAGACATTGTTGCACAACTGGAAGTAAATATTTCATTATGTATTGAGATTATGGTTATTTCAACATCCATTACTTGTAATATTGATTTAACAAGTAACATATTATAAGTATTTACTTAAGACATATTTCTTATGGCTTTACTTAGCACGTGCTTATTAACACAATAAATATTTACGATATAATATATCTATATATCTTTGATAATAATGCAAGTCTGCTTGCTTGAACACCCTATGCAGTACCTATTATTGAACAAATACCATCGACATATGTTATTATCCCGTATTGTTTATCCCGTAGTTTGGTACATATTACTGAAATGGTATAATGAAAAGATATTACACCTAATAACGTTGTTGTTGTTCAAAAGTGCCTTTCTGGTCTAATTGAAATAAATGATTTTGACAATATTTATCATACACGTAATTAGATGTTACTTGCTTCTGCCAACGGCTTCGCCCGCGTTCTCGGCATGATAATTACTCCATGTATTATATCAGACTATAATCTATCTACCAAATGTAATCCAAATCCGTCCTGTTACTTGATACCGAGCATATTACGGAACTCGATGTTCAGAAATCCTTCTGAAGCGTTGCCCCACAGGAGAAAAGTCTAGTTTAAGGCCCACACTAAAAAGAAATTCCTGCATCTTGGTTACAAACTTACATTTTCATATAAATATAGATCACACCCAGATTTATGAACGGTCAACTAACAAGGCACTACCTATTAGCTTCTAAATTAACAACATTATTTTAATTAATTATATGAAGGAGACCTCGTCCCAGCCTTGTTATAAACCATTTCACAGTGCACTTTGTCCCTAGAGTCTTAATTAAATATGTCAAGCTCGCAAACATCATATATTAAACTGTCATTAGCGAAGGCCAGGTCTGATGGATAAGGTGTATTAAATGGCATTACAATGCAATTGGATGGTAGAAAATAAAATGAAGGTAAAGTTGCTAGCAAAATGTCCCTGGTTTGTGGTGTTGTGAACCGAGTTCAACAAATGCGATCAAATATAAGAACTTGAACAATTATACCGTATGAAAAAAGTGCACGTGGAGGTCCTGATTTCGAAACGCCAATAGCAGCAATATGTGCACACATTGAATTAATATAGTATCTAAATCATCTGTGTATTTTTAAGTTACTGTTTATGGCACTGAGTACCATTTAGTCCGATTGAGACTACACCTACCAAATATGTGTAAACTGATGTATATTCTAGAGTTTCAAGCTGAAGAAATATCATCATATTGAACAAAAATATTGAACTATACTAAGACCATGTCATTACTCAATGCAGAGTTAATGGCTCCTCGTGACGTCAAACAATTGTCCACCGACCGTTCTCATTTATTAATCACGCTTAAACGCATTACATCCTCATTTAGTTAAAGCACTAAGCGTAATGTAATTCTACATTCAACTACTAACTGCATAAAGATTATAATCTGCGGAAGTGTCAACTTATACATTTTACAGGTAGACTTGTAAACAAACGATCAAATTATTCGCCAACGATCTCAACTCTCATGCTCCGTGGGTTGTAACGAATTGCGTAAATGTATCAGGTCAATACAAACCTTGAGGTAGTATTAATAGAACACTGCTTCATTCATACTTTTTGGTGGTTTTGAATGAAACCGACTTGTGGACTTAAATTTTATAATATAAACTATAAGTTTATATTTGCCTGAAGGGTTAGTAGTGACTGGATGCAACATTTCAAATTTTGTCAAAATCAAAATATTCTACGTATTCCCTTAACAGTACTTTATCCGGACGTTGAACTCTTTTGGGTTCTTAGTAATGAACAATATCGAGCTCTTGGGATTTCTAATCTCCATTCCACAGACTGAATCAATAAACGAAAAAATATGTTTTCAAATTAACAAATACTAATGAAGTTTACGAAGTTTTAAAATAATAAAGACAGACGAGAAACGATTAAATATTTGTATTCTGACGTACATTAGTAGAGCTAGATTATTTCGTGAAAGGTGACAAACCTGAATGTGATAATAAGGTTTGCAAAATAATTGTGAGTTTGGTTAAAAAACCCAGCGAACATACCGTTTACTTAACGGTAACAAAACAAAACGGCTAAAGTATACTGAATAAAACGAGACACGGTTAAATAAGTATACTGCGGAAAAGTAAATTCTTCTTACTTTGATGCCGAATCGGCTAAAATATTAAATGCAAATTCAATACTGCAAACGAGACTGCCGATCAGGTGGCATTATAACACTTTTGACTAAAATTTGGGTGTTTAATAATATTCACTTCTTCGAGGAATTAATGATATTTATGTTAAGTTACTTACTTTGCCCTGTCGACTCGGAATCGTCTCTTGACTCGGTCACCGACGGAGCCGGCTTGGAGGCGATGAACTTCGGACTTGACTCTCGCGCAGTGTCGAGCGGTCAGCACCCAGAGCACGAAGTTGGTGCACGTCACAAGCCCCATGGGGATTACAAAGTAGATGTAGTGCGGCCAGTCATTCCGCGCGTTCTGATCTGTAATCATTAATGTTATTTTAACACTAATGGAATATGTCTACTTCCTTAGGTACTAAGTTTTGACTGTCTAGTCCAAAAATTTAAAGGACTTAACGGGCATGAGTGATATTCGAATGAAATAAATATTATGAATGATAATGAATCTGAGTATGGGCTTGGTTGTCGTAACCATCTCTATATCATACATTGCTTTTGTGACAGTTCTTGTTAATACCAATATATAATCAACACTTCTGAGGACATGCATATAGTCTTAAATGAAAGGAAACTATTTCCTATTTAAAATTAAACAGCTTCGGATTTAATGTAACATATAACCAATACTGTAATTTCCTAAATTTTATTTTAATGTCCGTCTGGTACATTAATTTAAAACTAGACACGTGTTTTTTTCTTTTCGCGCAAAATTGAATACTTTCGACGTTATATTAATTTGAAATATCGTCTGACGTCACAGCGTGGCACATTTTGTAGCACGTTATGACGTAACAACCTCCGATTCCTAAACTTAGCGCCATTTTATCTAAGTATTGCAACTTAATAGGAGAAAATAAAAAAATGCGTCACTAATATTTTTCATTATGTAACTGCCAGACTAATTACATTTTTAATTTTGATACCCTGGACACTACCCAATTACTACTGATAATTAATTAAATACTGCTGGTAAACCCTACACATCAATAATCAGATGTCACTATGGTTTTTTCCAACATAAACACTCGTCCTTTAATCGTCCAGAATCTGCATAGCAACCTCTTTAAAATGCAGAATTGTTTCAATGATAAGTATCTCAGATTCTTGTATGACTGCTAATACATTTGCAATGATCGTAAAAGTTAGGTACATGTCAAATTGAATCTAGATATTATGATAAAGAACATTTGAAGTGCACTACAAAAAAGTTATAGCAATTCACAAATGGTTTTGACTGCTTAGTTATTGGTTGTCGGACCACGCAAATTACGTCATAACAACGTGACGAGAATGATTTGAACTTTTCAGAACAATACATTTGATTATTTTCGACCGCAAACCGAAGTGGTTATTCTTGTTTATATATTTTAATCAGATAGGCGAATGAACATATTAATTACATGCAGGTTGAATAGTCAATTTTAACAGTGTTTAGAAGGATAGAAAAGGGGTCTTACGTTCTATTCCCGAATCAATAAGTCTGTGGTTTTTGATATTTCTAACAAGGCGTCTGATATTGCCCAATATTATGTCAATGGGCTCGCTTTCTATGAATGAAACCCATAAATAACTTAACTGATTAAAGATGTTGTGAAATTAATACATTACATTACACTTCTGCCAATTCCCTCCCGTCTCACTTAGGCACTCATTAGATGATTTTCTCACTTACAAAAAAAAACATCTCTGCCAATCCCTTCGATTTGTCAACTGGTTTCATTATTTTGTCATAAGCGCATATTTATAGACTGAACTCAAAATTGTCTGATGATGAATTACACAATAAAGAACTGTAGAAAAAATTAACATCTTGCGGGTAATTGAACAACGAAACGAATTCTCAAAAATGTGGTGGAAATTCCCATGAATGATTTCAACTGAAGCGAAGTAATATACATGATGTCGCCTATAAATACTGCTCCGGTTTTTCCCGAATATCTATGCAGATAATGATGTAATAGGCCCGACGTTTTCTCTGATTTTAAAATGTAAATGTGCAAAGATATTTCATTGCAATATTTAACTACCTTTCCTCTACGTAACATAATATCTCATAAGATTAGACAGTTTCCAAAAAAAAATTCAACTTAGAAATCAGTCCATCAGTTTCAGAGCCTATACAATACACATGAACAATAAAAAGTCTCTTTATAATATTAGTACAAATGGTAACAATTTCTAAATGTTTATCTTAGATTAGATGAATGATCCCTAACGTGTTGTTCCCTGACTAACAATATCGGAGACTATGACTCAACACCTACTTACCTACATACATATATCTCTTGTCAATTAGACAGATACGTGTACCAATTATGACGAGACTAGTCTTAAGTTGTCTAGCCGGCCCAATTTCTATGCGTACAAATATTTGTAATGAATACAATCCCTTATAATAGTGGAGAAAATTGATAGAGAAAATATGTTCTAGTGTGAGAATTGTCTTAATATACCTACTTTCGAGAAGAAACATTTTTTACGTTAATATAAAACCTATAAACCTATCTTACAGTCGAGTGAAAAATCGTTGAAAATCTGTCTTTAAAATTCAAGTCCTTTTAAAAAATAACAATGTTCTTTGCATTAATTATAATATAATGTAATCATGTAATGTATAATTGCGCCTATTATCTAAAATGATTTTCCATGTTGAAAAATTTTTAACACTTTTGGTGATTTCAATTAAAAATTAACTTTATTAATCATAACTCGACAATAAAAGCTTACAGTGAAACAAAGAACCGTAAATTATAATGAAATGACTACCTAACGAAATTTTAATTACTTAAAACTACAAAAACTTAGTCCATTAGTTCAGTTGAAGTAGTTTTGTCACTAGCATTAAACAAATTAACTATACCAGACAGTTTTCACAATAAAAGGTATTTTCTAAAAAGCTTTGCTGTCCATTAAAACTGCGTTAATCATAAATCACTAGAACTGTAATGTGTCTGTAGGTGCCGGTGGACCTTGCCTGCAAGTTACGTAGAACATTGACATTTTTGACACACGAATATTCGCGAGAATTAAAACGCATAAGTACCTAGTGGATACTTTACATGCAAGTTAATAATAAATTTTAAATGGCTTTAAAAACGTGTGCACTGGAAGGAACATTAGCCTATTGAAATAGAATAAGTATACAACTCCATGTCATGCGCCATTGAAAATGTTCGACTCGGAGATCGAGAAATGAATTAGTAAATACACAACTATTTCATTAGAATTTTCATAAAACGAGAAATTGAAGTCATAACACTGAGGAGAACAATCGCATCCTTCCGGATAGTGAGTCAAACAATGCATGAGAATTGTAATTTTCATATAGACATCAAGGTGGTGAATGAATTAAAAAAACGCATTCCGTGTAATCTGTGGAGTTTGAAGAAAATATGACGATATAGGTTTGTTTATTATTTTTATTGTACGCAGAACTGGACCGACAGTTTACTTTAAAAGCGCGGGCGTTTACTGAAACTACACATACATCAGCAACAAAACGTTCTTATGAAAGAAATGTTCATAATATTTTGTACTTAAATATTCCACGTGAGTCACGCGGGGCCACCTTTCGTGGTCTGCAGGACGTGATGAACGATATTATTTCACATAAAATAACTACTCAATGAACTATAACTTTTGGCACATAAAAATAAATTTTGCATCCACAAATCTTTATTTGAGCCTTTGTAAATCTTAACCAAATGTTTAATATTGGTAGGAAAATATGTTGGTACGTAACGTGCGTCGATATTATGAAATTTATACTTCACTGATGTACATACCTAATGTTATATTATTGTATTTTATTGATGTTCTTTGATATTTTTAGTAATTGTGATTACGTAAAAACTAACAAGTCAAAAATAAACTGGGATTGCGCGAAACAAGTGTATGCTGATTAGATGCAATTTCGAAACGTTATTTCTGTTTATTTCACAAGAAATGTAGTGTATCGGTGGAAAGTACTTACACATTTTTTTGGTTACGTACGGTCCATCCTACTTAAAACTTACTACAGAGGTATGTAGGTGTTTATTTTGGAATACGTCATTACTCGTCTAACATACAGGTGGCCTGGCTCATCAGTCTGTTTAGATTTCCTTAGAACTTCAACTGCTCCAATATTTTTATGTTCTCAATTATAGCGATCAATAACCCACAGCAAGGCATATTATTGGGTGACCTAAAAATACTATAATTAATAGATATCAACAAATGTATTCCGCCCTGTTTTCGCTTCCATAGAAACAGTACGTTTTTCTGAGTAAAAGCTGTCATAATTTTCCGGTTCATAAACTATTTTGACGCGGAAATCATGGCAATTCATAGAAACAACCATTTATTTAGAGAAAGATTACTTACAAGTTCCGAACCAGCATAATCCTTCCCCCATGTTGGCGTCCAGGTAGTCGGAGACCGGGTACTTGTCGAAGATGAACATGACGAGAGTGAGGAGGATCGCCGTACTCCACGCGTACAAGGAGTACCAGAGAAACCGACGTAACTCTGTGTTGGCTTTGCGCATCGGCTGAACGGAGCGGACACTCCTGGTAAACAAATCAATACAAATTATAAACAAAACACTACTAATAAACAAAATATGTATTTTAAAATTTTGCAATATGGAAGTAAGATGTGTAAGAAAAATTATGCCGTGTTTGCAAGATACTGTGTTATTTTTAACGACATAAATTACACACACACAATAAATATTGTCAATAATCTCGTGATGAAACACGTGTAGTTAAATGGATTATTGATAGGTATTTACAATTGAAGAAATGATGATAAGGATGAAGAAGAAAGAAGGCAAAAGATAAGACAATTAAAACATATACAAAGGTACCAACAGATCATTTTTGTAAACAATATGCTTAACAAAGGAAAGGGCAACAAACTGATGATCTCTTTTTAAAGTTAATTAACCAGACAAATGTTTAATTTTATTAACCAAATGTTTTTTTTTCATTACCTGTTTGGTGTGAGACGTTTTTATAGTACCTAGGTACTGGTACCTAAATTCTCAAACTCAACAAAATCAATTAATTAATTTCCACGAAAAATATTAATTCAACACGTTCTTTATATATTTAATAGTTCTTCAAATATTATCATACTTTATACGTGACATCTTACGATTTCTCAAAACGACATGCATCCATTACGGAGAAGTTGACTCTAATATGTAGGTACTATTTATCTCTGTGAACTTGAACTTCAATATACTAAACGGCTACAACATTATCTTGACTGAAAAATTTAAATATAACGTCATGACTGTAATTCCTCGAAAGGGTAGGCAAGGAAGTTATTTAAAAAATCCCACTTTAAATATAAACCATGTGTAAGAAATGTCTACTAAGGTTTATACTCCATGCTATTATCGGAAATCTTGAAATTACGTATTTCAAGAAAACCCAATATCGCTTTGAATGAACAGTGAATCTAACCTCAGATATTAAGCGGTGTAGTCACACTTACGACAATTCAACAATTCAATGCACACGCCATTGAACTGTGTTTATATCAGTAAGTACAAACAAAAAGTTTGTCGTTAAAATAATAATGTTCCTACCATTACTTTTATGGCTATTACAGCAAACATAGTAGTCGTAATAGAACGTGACGTTAGCTAATAACACGTACCTATGGGGTCTTTATTGGTTTTTACTGCTCCCATTAAGTCGGCTGGGTCATGGGGATTGACTAGCTAATCACGAGGCCAAAGTACTGTGACAAAATATACGATAAGCAGCAGATAAATACTAATCCACAGATAACTGAAGCTTCGAACATAATAAGTTCATTATAGCGTACAGATACATTATATGTGTGTATAACGCTTGTTCTAATCGTGTAATCATGTAAACTTCTACTGAACTAGGAAATTGTAAACATGCTGGAAGCGTTGTTACATTTACCACACGGATGCTTTATGATTGTTATCTCGCCAGAGCATATTTTAAATAATATATTGTTAAGTGTACCTACCTACCGTTTATCGAGGGATCCGTTACTGAATCATTCTGGTTTTGTTGTCATAATGTAACTATAGATATTGGACTCATTCTAATAACATTGAAGTATTATGATCGTGTTATTGTGTCCGTTACGTCCGTTAGATCACGGTAATATATCTTCATCTACATTAGACACGTAAGAAAACTGGTGAAAATAATGAAGTAGGTACATCCAATGACATGTGAACCTATGTTAATGGCTTTTATAAAAAAAGGCGTGATGTTATGTTACATTACAATCGCAGTTTTCATACGATTTTCCTGTAAATCTTATCTAGCTTTGCATCTTTTAAAAAAGACGTCATGAGATTATTCAGTGTGATTATGATACGGCTCAATGATGATGATAATAATAAAAGGGCGACACGACCTTTCTGTGTTGTTGTGTTTATGCTATACCTACATAATAAATAAATACATACATACAAAATAAACCTAACGGGTAACCGAGGCTCCGGCTCGACGTGCAGGAGAAGGAACGGGGTGGTTTTTAGTCAGCAAGAGTCTGACACTCCCTCCCGCCTCACCCAGGCGGGAGCAGTCATTCGATGATTTTCCCCCCTTAAAAAAAATAAATAAAAAAAATACCTACATAATGCCGTCTTGTACTAACAATTTGTTTAAGAACCATAGGTTGGACTTTTGAGGGTTTTCGGGACTCATCGCGGCACTCACTTAGTTTCTATGATTTCGATAACATGAAAATTAAGACCTCATTCTCGAGAGTTGCGCTTGCAACCCCTCGACAAACGAAGTAACTAAACTAATATCTTAAATTTTTAAATGATATATAGTATTAAATACATCGCTGCTTACCCTTTCCAGACAAATAAATAAGAAAAAAGTGCTCAGTGTATGGTATATTGTAATTCATGACATTTTGTTGGTGTGGTCGATGACGTGTTAATTAGTGCCCTACCCATAGTGGTCGCACATAAAGTGCGTTTTCCTATCCTGTCGGTTTTCATTAACATTGTACTAATCGTAACCTCCACGCTTGACCTTTTCAATCTCACATTAGAAACTATCAAATTAAGCTTTAACTTCACCTATCAGTGATAAACACTAATTAGTTGAAATTCGCAAAAATAACCGTGACTGTCACTAATGTCTTCTGTCGCGAAACACAATTTGATGTTATTCGCTAATCATTTTGTCAAATACCTGTATAGCTGCGTTGAAAACATTTTTTACGGTTATTTCAATTTGGTAAATGTTATCTTCAAGCCAATTTCATAAACATTTAGATTGTTTATACTTCCTACTCACTGTGTATATTTATTCCAGCCGCATAACGTTTGATAGTGGAGGCCTAAAATTACGGCACCTATTGTTTTACCTCACCATACTTATTTATTCAAAATAGATTACTGACGCTTCATAAAAAAAGAAAATTAAAAATATCTATGAAGAGCCTCAAAATCAGCTGTGATTAAATTATTCCTTTATTGATTTAAGGTCTGTGTATCATTTGAATTAGCTGTCGCGGAGAACCTAACGGGTAACCGGGGCTCCGACTCGACGTGCAGGAGAAGGAACGGGGTGGTTTTTAGTCAGTAAGAGTCTGACACTCCCTCCCGCCTTACCCTGGCGGGAGCAGTCATTCGATGATTTTCCCCCCTTAAAAAATATCATTTGAATTAGCTGCAGCACAATGTATGTACAATTAAGTACAATACATCAAATTATGTTATCCTCTGTGCTGTTTATGTGTACATAAATTACTAAATAAATAAAGTATTCATAAATCAGCCACTCCGATACATAACAACAAGCCAGATAAACATTAATTTATAACGAACGCAAACTTTACTTATTGAAAACGTCATTTCGTTTCATATTATCTTACTAATCTTGAATTATGTTAAGCGAAGGTGGGTAATTATTTTCCAAGTAATACTAGGTATCTACATAAAGAATACGTATGTACACTTAGGAAATACTGATCAATTTATTTACTGAACAATAGACACCACAAAAAATTAAGAAACAAGGTTTTACCCTAGCTAACATGTACTCAGTGATACTGCGAAGGCGTTACAAAAACTGGTTTCTGTAAACTAGGTACTCGATCTCGGAACACTGAATAATTTCTAATCTTGTGCCCGCCCGGACATGGTTCAGAGACTCCCGAGTGCGTGGGATACTGGGGTGGCTGGTGGTGATATCACGCATCTAAAACGTATACTTTACCTAGATATGTCATTATCATCCCACGCACTATCAGTGACTACACTCAGGCACGTTGACCAAAACAGAACTATTTAAGCAAACACAAATACGTCACGGATTTCCTAGCATTCGATGATTGCTGATCAAATAATGAAAACAATACACGTGCGGCTCCACAAAATTGGTAAGTACTTTTGATTTCCCCGTTATTATCTTGCGTTTGTTACCTAATTGTGTAATCTATAGTTAGGTAGGTATGCTCAGGTATATTTTTAGATTAATCAGAAAATGCTATCAAAAATACAATTTCTGCGGAAAAGATTTTTTTTCGTTAAAAGGCAATTTAGCTGGAGCTGTTCACTAGAACTAAAGCCTAGAGCTAAGCTGCACTTTGATATTAGTGCTTCGAATAAACATAAATTAGTAGATTACTTAAGTGTGATTCACTCATGTTCCACATCCTCTCGTGATAATAAATGTATTATCTCGTTTATCATCCACATCCTAAAACCCGATTACGTAAAATGTGCTGCTTATCACCTAAAATGTTACTGACATGTACCAATGATTAATAGACAAGGAAAACAAAAATAATTTACTATTATTATATGCACATTGTTTAAGTTCCATTAGATCATTGTGGTATTTGTTAATTTTGTATATTTATTTTAAACGTCTTAACGTGGCCCCGGGGATTCTTGCCATGTGCAAATATCAAAGAGCCGGTGTGTAAACTCATCGATAACTAAAGACCAAACAAACATTTACCCACATTGCGACAAACGACTGCGGGCAACACTCGTAGCATTTGTTTAATCAAAGGTGACATTAAAGTGCTAACAAATCATTTCGTTTCTAAATGAAGAATTAACTATAAACTAAAATCCATAAATACCCGGTAACAATAGTCTGTAACGTCTTAACTTATAAGGAGTTATTAGTCATACAGTGTAGCATTTGTATTCCTACTGAAACCGCGGCATGCACAGATATCAAAATTACGCATCCGCAAAATCCGGTTGTTTAAGCGAATAGATTGAGTTGTTATCACGACTCAATATTTCATGAACTCTTATTTTTAGAATCACATTTCACGAATGAATAACATCAGTATTTTCACAGTAAACAACTTCATTCATCTGAATTCTCATTTGATTTTTCTGTCAATCTCACAAAATGTGAGCTTTCAGCGCATGAATTACAGTTTAGTTACAAAACAAAAAGAGATCTTAGATTCTTTATCTTTGATACATTTTCGTATAGTACACTATGGACAGTGCAAAATTAGTTGCACCGCGGTGTCTGGCGTGTTACTCGTTCGAATATTTTCTACAAACGTTATTATATAAACAAACTCACTAGCTGAGCCTGAGACGTGTACTCAATCTGAAATTAGAAGTTTAAAATTTTTGATCGCAGGAAATTATTTGTTTAACTTTTACAATAGTAATAGCACTCCAGATGCCTATGATCACACTACAAGTGATGACCGCAACGCACATGGCCAATAATATGTATAATAAGGATGAGTTCGCGGTAAATGTGCATAACTGTTGTGCCAAGGGACCCGATGAGACAGATTTTATATATGAATCTTCAATTCACACGTCATTTGCATTGTAGCCAGTCTAAATGTTTGTGTTGATTCTTAACAAAACTTACCCAAATGTCCACCAGATGTCGAAGCACATGACGTTGAGCCAGGCGAACGCGGCCACGAAGCCGAAGTAGATCCCGTACCCTGCGCAAACAATGAGCAATCGTGTAATGGATCAACTATGACTGGTGAGTGCATGGCAAGTGGCGAGCGTTCCTACAGATTTACTTTGATTCTCAAATAATCTCACTTGCATGCTGTTACATTAACTTTCGTGAGACATACTAAATAAATTATTATGTTTTCGGCTTACTCACGTTGTAATTCGACGAGGAACTCGACTAGTTTCAAGCCATGCTAGAGGCTCATATTCATGACCCGCATTTCGCGACCCGCGACGTGGTGACTGTCGCGCTGCTACTCTGCTGCAGCATGGCTTGAAACTAGTCGAGTTCCTCGTCGACTTACAACGTGAGTAAGCCGAAAACATAATAATTTATCTGTTACATTAACGTTCATTAATCACGATCGCGGCCACTTCAGTGCTACCACCGCTACATCTATGTTGAATGGAACCGTGAATAATTTACTAGGATTTAATACAAGTGAAGATTCACTCACAAAAAGCAGAGATAATTTAAAACAGATTATCCAACAAAATTATTTTAATATTTCTTGTCTTTAACATTTCTACGTTAACAGCAGATTTCTGATATTGATTTGTTTTATTAAGTATGATTTACAATGAAGAGTACCTACGTAAACTGATTAGAAATTATAATTTATGGCTGTTGTTTCATAAACAATCTCTTTGCTCCAACTCCAACAACTCATACTAAATGCTTTCGCAATTATGTAATAGTTTACACAATCTATAGTAACGAACCTTAAACCTTGGATGAAATCAACAAGTGGGCGCCTAGTAAGTAGTAGTGACTGGCTGACTGACTGACTTCAACCAACCTTTGACGAAAAGGATATTTGTTAAGGTAATATTTTTATTCTTTATGTGACCTAAATATTGACCTAAATATTCTTGAAACAAATTCAATTGCATTATGAGGTAGAGAGAGCTAACCTTTCTGGTAGATAGTAGGTACTTAATATATCTTAAGTATTACTGTCGTGAGCCATATCTCACTAGGCGCCTCCTTTACTTAATGACAATACATTAATTAGTTACTCGTTGTCTAAGTAATTTTAAAATTACATAATGTTAACAAAAAATCGCGGGTTACACACGTGAACATGCTGAGAAAAACTCTACTACCTAAGGAAAAAGTCGCGGCGATGTCGCGCAGCCTACTCTTCGCACGCTGCCTAGAGGACCCCTGTGATTCGTAACTAGTAGAGCTTTTCTCAGTATGTTCACGTGAGTAACCCGCGATTTTGAGTTAATTTGGTATGTCTCACGATAGTTATTGCCTACATAATGTTGTTACTGAACTGTTTACGACGAATTTTCTCAGTGAATGTAAATAGCGAACAATTGTTTGGTTATAAATAAATTTATAGCATTCTGTAAGTATCGTAAAATTTTATGATCGTCATTGATTAGAGAACAAGCTATGAATCAAATTCAGTGGTTCATTATGACAGTTCGAGATTTCGATTTTTTCAATTCAAATATTACATTAACTAGGTCAAATCATTAATAATTAACATTAATCTGTATACAAAAAATTTAGCAGAACCCGTTAGAATCTGGTGAATTATGTCAGTCGACTTGTAGGCCAAATAAAAATTATTTATTTGACAGAATACTATTAACTATCGTGAGACTTAGAATTCATGACGACCGCGCACGCTTCGTATGAGGAAGAGTCCCTTTGTGACTCGAAACTAGTAGAGCATTTCTCAATATAAATATTTACGTGAATAACTTGTCATTTTTATTTGATAGAATAATAATAAGCCCTTATTGCTGAAAACTAGACATTAAGTAACACTCATCTAACTCATAAACTAACACATCAGTTATCCTTATTAGTGATCAGCGGGTCCTGTGACACATAGGCCTCTTCCATTTGATAGAATACTGTTATTAACACTGAGAATCGTAGCAAATGGCATTCCATAGTCTCTAACCTACCCCCTAGGAGACAGGCGTGAAGTTATGTACGTATGAATATAAGATTAATAACGTAAAATTAACTTGATCTATGAGAATCAATGCGGGTTTTGTAGATAGATGATTACACTAATTGTGCGATATTAATTTTTAACGGTCCTCTATATTATGTGCGTAATATATAAGTACATATACTACCTGTTTCCAACGATTATATTAATATTATCAGCACCCACTGAATAATATCAGTTTTACGTCAACATGCATGTTACGGCATTGATTTTATGATGTCCAGCTAAGAGCATTATTTAATAGCTTTGTATTATTAAGTATTAGATGTTAATTTATTTCCTAATGGAAATCATTTAACTATTAGGTATATTTATTGGCTTTCTTATCCGCATTCGTACGCCCTATTTATGTACGATAAAATAATCTATTGTGATACAGATATGAAGTAGGTACAGCTTCTTATTATAGCTCTGCGAACAGTTTAAAACAGATAAATATTAAAATAGAATACTCCAACATAAAGTACAAAATTGAAATATGTATAATGTGAAATACCGACTAATTGGAGATATAAGAATTATTATATATGTATATCAACGTATTGTATGTAAATTAACACCAATTAACACATCAAACGAAAATTATCTTTGCATAATATTTGAGCAACGTGCCGATCTGAACATTTCAATTCTCTAGTTAGGATTAAATATAGGTATTCGCGTAACTTCGATACAATTTATCGTTTATTTATTAACAACATGCAAGTGCATTATGTCTGCAGCGATGTATATTTAATAAGCTGCTTCAATATGATTTAGATAAGGTCACCACTTGTATCTTCAATTTTTATTGCAACCAGATGTTATCAAGTACCTACTTACTCGATAAAGTCAATTGAAAACAGACTGCGTGGATATCAATCATTCATCGAAACGTAATATCTGTTATCAATTTGTTTGTTGGTTTCCTTTTACCGCATATTCATAAAATCATCCCACGCTATTGAACGAAATCCAATATTTTGTCACGCCAATATTATGTTTTCACGCCATCAAAAAACGGTTTTGAGGAAGTGCACATACATAGTTTTGACAATTTAAGGAAATTGAATTATGCTTGCAAAATATTATTTTAGTTTAACATATATTTTTATGTATACCAAGAAAAGATTACTACTTATTTCGTCATGACTTCATGAGGTCTAGATAAAATAACCTATTTATCCAATATATTGTTTTGTTCGCCCTTATCAATAATCACAAAGCGAATTTAATCGTACATTCACATTATTATTATATTGTTAATAATTAGTGAATTTACAGCTCTCCTTGCACTAGATTTATAACAGCAGTCTGATGATTTAATCTTAAAGATATTGTTAGATTATGCTAATTCAGCCTTCAACAAAAATGGCTCCTTGCCTATAAGGCACAAAACGCTAGTAACAATAACAAGTAGCAGTTATGATTCTGCCCCCTTTTCTGCGACATCAGGTGTTTCGCAATTGTCCAAATTGGGCCCCCTTCTAGTTTTTATATTTATAGCGTCGTGTTAGATGTTAGGTCATCTACATAGACTCGACCGATGTATGAACATAAAAACTTTTAACTTTTGTCCATTCTCGCAATATTATATTGACCCATCTTAGCAAACCTATGTACATTTTTGTCATTCGATGATTTTCCCACCTTAAAAAAAAAAAAATCAAATGTACATTTTTGTCACTAGCAATAAAATACCAAATACTTGTTTAAGAAATACTGTCATACTAACTATAAATCTTAAGCTCTTCGAACATTAAAAAAAATTACGAAGAATTGCTACAAATTCATTATAATTTCTTGGTTTGAAACAATGACAAGTGAATGAAAGCAAGTAAATATATTTTTTTTCTAGAAAACTTACCAATTAGAGTGCAGGTAGTGTTGTCAGCTACTCGGCTGTGTTGGGCACGCGCGAGGCAGCCAAACGCGAGCAGCATCATACTGACATGGCAGATAAGGGTGCGTCCATGTAGATTCCGGAGCTCCGGAAGTGATATGTACACCAACAGCGTCAGCGCCAGGCACACGCTCGATATACTGATCAACTGAAACAATACAAAATGCTGATTACTAGCTACAATACCTATTATCTCCTAGTTCATAATTCGTTATATTACTTCACGTCTTTCATTCAAAATAAGTAATTATAACTGTTCATTGAATCTCAAGCTAGTAAACTCTTTGGTTTTCAAAACCCATGCTGGTTAATAGTTTTTCCTTCTTTTGTAGAAAATAGTAGGTTTAGTTCCGCCATGCAATAAACTCTGTACAGTTCATCTCTTAACAATGGAATTTTATAACAATGGAGGTGACACCCTAAAGACCTCTTCAGTTCATGACCCATTACTATCCAGTTCCATTAATAATCAGATTTCAAAGGTTGTTTGCTTTAGATCCAAATGACCAAGATTATGTAAATCCCGTCGATATTAGGATGTCAATTATAATTCGATCGTATTTCAACGTGTTGACATAATATTAACGGATTACCAATCTGTTAAATCCTCAAGTTACAATGTATGAACAATGAATATACTGGAGGGTTATGATTACCCGCTGTGCGGTGACGTCACGCGCTGTATTCTCGCCTCCTTTGTTTATGTTTCGATATAATTATGATGGTTCCCTCATGGCCTGAATCCCTGATATTAACCTAAACATGAAATACTCAGAATATCAGGAAAAAGTTTATCTTGATGTAAAAATGTATGGTTTGAAGAAGGTATCAATTCTGCCTACTACTATCTCCTGACTATTTATCACACTTGTTGACTTTGTAAGAACATAATAATGATCTTAAAATCCCTTGTGACTAGTCAGTCCACCCTGACCTAAATAAGGATATAACAAGATTCTCGGTTAGCTTCTATTCTATTTATAAAAATGTATTAACGGATTGTTAAGTAATTTTACGAAATCGTCAGAAGACTCTCAGTCACTGATGGTTTGTTTATTAGCTCACGAATCAATCCATCTGATCCGTATGATCTATTGACTGGCTGACCAATCTAAACAAACTTTAAAATTTGTAACGCATTCACAAAAACCTATATTTCTGTCATATAATGTTAACACTCTATATTCTTTCATCAATAATTTCTTTGAAGATGTTAGAGTCAAGTAATTGCATTAATAGAGACGATGACAGATTTAAACAACTATTTATTTTATCAGATCAACAGTTAGATAATGAAAAAATATTCAACACGTATTATTTGCTTTATAAAAATCGACATACAAGCTCACATTCATGGTTATATTTATCTGTATGCCAATCATCAAGATCCTTTTAGCTATTTTGGTGTGTCCATTCAAGCGTCTAAACTATTAAATGTGCATAGCGTTTATAAAATTACTTACGAAGAATGATACTTGAAAGTTCTTCACGACTTCGGGAGCCTTTATGAAGCAGTTGACGGCAGTGATGAAGATGTTACCGTCAGGACAGAAGCGGCTATCAAAGGCCTCGAAACAGTAGCCATCGCCCACACTGATTGGTGAAATCAGACGACCATCAGATCTCAACCGATGTCGGTCCCGTTCCACGGACTTGTTTAACACCACACGACCGGCATTGCAGTGCAAGTCGATGCGAAATCCCATTACATCTAAAAATGAATATCCAATATTAGTAGACATCCTTATCATACCTGTACATATTCAAATGACCTAAAGTTATGTATAGAAAGAGCTTTTACAAAAGGCTGTAGAAAATTTCGAAAACGGATAGACTCAATAATACTTTCAATCGAACTCGAGACCCCAGTTTGGCAGAATCGTTTGCGCTCAAGTTCAATGCAACAACACGCTCAAATAGTATCCGAACACAATATACCTATTTATTTAAATAAAATCAATGTTTTTATTTAAATCCTTAAATTCATGTAAAAGGCACAACGCCTTTTACATGAATTTCGAATCGACATAGTTCAGGGCCACCCTCTCACTTTTCGACGGACTCACTTAACATTACTTATCTACATAATAATTGAGTATTGTTACTGTTGACTATACTAATAATTAGGATAGTCTAAATATTATGTTGTACCTACTAATGATAGAATTTTTAGAAAAACAATGATACGTTAATGTTAATTAGTCTCACATAACTCATGTTATCTTCATTCTGATGGTTCTTATAGACTATATCTACACCAAATTATAGTTTATAACGTTTCACACTTCACTAACTGAAAATAGAAGCACGTTAGCCTATAGTGCAGCGCTACGGGAGCCTCCTAATTTTGAATTTCAAATCTCTATTCCCGAATAAACTTAAATATTTTCATAAGAAATCACTTCCATCTGACTGACAAGGCAAATAATACTTTTATAATATCTTAGCGTAAATATCATTGTTTTGAATAACATGATTTTAACCACGCTATGAGTACGTACTTATCCCGTTATCGGGTCGTGAATGCCACGTACACGGTACACCACACGGATGTCGCGGAGAACCTAACGGGTAACCGGGGTAACGGGGTGGTTTTTAGTCAGTAAGAGTCTGACACTCCCTCCCGCCTCACCGAGGCGGGAGCAGCCATTCGATGATTTTCCCCCCTTTAAAAAAAAAATACACCACAGGGATCACGAGCACCTACATCACGCCAGCTTTATTCATCGACCACGTAACATAATTATATTAGTAGGTGGTTACCAGAACCCACGGATTTTTGTTTAGGTTTGGGATCCTTTTAGCTTCAGGTGTCTGTCATAATTCGGTCAATTGACATCCGAAGATAGAATAATTCACAACCAGCTGAAAATTATTGTACGATCTTTATCAGTTCGACTCTAGGAAAGAAGTGATTCAGGGTCGCAAAAACGGGTATTTCAGGGATACGTAAGTTTGATTAGGAAATTAACCAGACAGATATTGTAGATAAAGTTATTATTTATAGAATTCGAGTTAGCTCAAAAAGGTAAAGAAAATACAAGTAAATAGTAGTAGAATTAAACTCACTGGAAATGACAGATAATAATCTATATACATAAAAAAGTCGTGTTAGTACACTACTTATAACTCAAGAACGACTAAATCGATTTGGATGAAAATTGGCATGGAGGTAGCTTAGAACCAGGAGACGGACATAGGATACTTTTTATCCAATATTTTTTTTTACTTTTTACCGAAAATCACGAACGGGAATGGTGAGCAGAAGCTAGTATGCTATAAAATATATGGACAGATCAATTACAATGGGTGTTCGTTTTATGCAACAAAACGGTTTATCAGGATTTGCCGAATTTGGAAAAAAGTTTAATGGCAAAATTATAGATGATAAAAATCTTCAACTATTGTGTTTACACTATTTTCACACATTCGCAAAAATTAATATGAAAAAATCTAATGCCTGATTTTGGTTTTTATTGTTATCTTTTAAGTTTTTTTAATGAAGTTTCGTGAAGAGTCACCTTTTTCTCCCAAATACGTAGTATATTTTTTCGGTTAATAGTATAATCTACTTATTTCCCCTGATTTGAAATATCGAACAATATTTCCTTAATTTTGGAAATATGCTTGTAAAATTGGTTTGCTCCATTGTTGTTAGAACCACTATTTTTTAAGGTGTAAACAATAATACGTGTATTATTATTGCAAATTAGATCCGCGACCTTCAATGTGAACTACACACAATTATAGAGGCTTCAATAAGTTACTAATTTCTGTCTGCAATTAAAGAATTATATTGCACTTCGTAATAAACATTCGTATTTTTGTTGGTACTTGGAATCCGATAAAACTACAATTTTTAGCTAACTTAGTAGTTCAAATCCGATTTATTTACTAAATCACATTTGTATGAATTGCCAATTTTAAAATACCGGCAAATTGTCTTGCTGGAAATAAATACCAAACTGACATTTGATTACATTACTCAATTTTAATTTACAAAGCTAGAAATCAATTAATTCTGCAAAAAATTAAACGAACTATTATGTTTAGTTTTGCTAATTGTCTGGTCTTTGCAATTATGTGTTTTCTGTACATTTTCAGCTTCTCTGTAAATCTTTAGCTTCGTTTCCTAGTACCACTTAAAGTCTCGGTTTACACCATATTCACTACTTTATACTCCTTACACATTTGCTTCTTGATTGATAAGATAACCAAGTATTAACAGAGGCGATACCTAAATGTCAACCATCAAACCATATCCATAAAAATAAAAGAAACATTGTACTTAAAATAAAAACCTCACCTGTTATTTCCGGATTTTTATGTTGCAATGGCTCCATATAGTCTGATATATTAAATAACACATCATCCACATTCGGCACACACTTGCTCGCGAAGCTGCCACAGCGCCGAGGCTTGTAGTGGTACCCGATGGGACAACACTTCCTCACACAAAACGCACCGTACTTGGAACAATCACTAGAACACACGCGCGCCACCAGCTCCGAACTCGAGAACTCCCGGTCCACACACCACTGTCCTGGCACAGCATCGCCGCTACCGTCGCCTTTTTTACTAAATATCTTTAAAGTACTTCCGTCCACTTGAAGAGAAAAGAACCTCTGCCTTAACTCTATGCTATACTCATCAGTTTCACAGTGCAGGCCAGTATCCACCTCGTAAATAAAATTATCTTTCATTTTTAATCGCTTCAATAACCATTCTTCAGAGTTATTCACTTCAGTGTCTCTACATATATGAAAATTACTGTCGTAGCTCTGCCCTCGTGGACAACATTTCCGGTAGTTATGAATGGTTAAAGCATTTGCAGATGTCTTATTATCTTCATTTTCGACACAACTTTTTAATCCTACGATTAAAGGAATTATTGTTTTTACTGTGTCATTATGTAATTCTGCCACAAGCCTATCGTAACAGCCATTAAAAACCACTGCGCTGTTTAAGTCTATAACAGATATCTCCTGTATTGGAAAATCATCACATATTTCAGGTATTCCATACTCCACCGAGACATTTTTACCAACAAAAAGAGGAATTATGGTAATGTTGTAGTCATTCCGCGCACTTTCACGATCTAAACACTTATAAGTAGAGCTAAAGTTGAAGGATTCATCATCGAACACTTTCATTAAACTTTGATTGTTTGGACAACACTTACGAAACACTTTGTCTCCCTGGACGATATCGGCACTAGCGTAGACAATTACACTCATGACAATTAGTAGATGCATTGTTATTAAAATTCTTTAACTTCAGGCACCGACATCAACACCCGCATACAACTTCTTACAACAGTTGGAACGTGTCGATCGGCGTGGTGAGCATTGTTTATTTTCGAAGCTGTCCGTGCGAAACGTGTGTTGTGGTAAAGCGTCGACGGCGCAATGATGCGGCTTCGCGGCTCGCTCCACTCTGATCAGTGCCGGCCGGTGTCGGCGGAGGCTGCTGCGCCCTTGAAGCCGCCCGCTGTCTGTCGGTGACGCGGCTGAGCTTTTGTTACGCTGGTGGATTTTTTTGTCTTTTTGCTCACTTGCGGATTTGTCTGTAGGGAACTGCCCTACACTCAAATTGTCCCGTTAACCACTTCACTCACGCTTTTTGACACAAATTCTAAAATAACACTTTATGTAATATAATAATTGTCAATAAATCGGCGGTATCTACCCCTTCGAAATAAATAACGACTGCGCGTCGCGAGTCATGCGTACGTATTGTACGAAGACGACGACTCACATGTTTATCAGATATCTTCCGATAAAAACATGAAACGGCTGATTGTATACTTAGAATTTAAAGTGTAAACAAATATACTATTTGTGGCATTGATATTATATCGATAACTGATTTAATTTCTACTGAAAAAAATGCAATAACAAATACGGGAGACTCCGAGTTGTGGCACGTAGTATAATGACTAATTATATTGTACAACACATTATGTCTGTTTGTACGGAATGGGTGTTATTTATGTTTAATTGCATATAAGTATAAGTACATAGTACCTCATTGGACGCTTAATGAATTACTTAGCTCGTTAATACAGTGCATTTTGTATAAAAGTTATGTTCGCTTTGTGACAAAACAATAATCATGTAAAACTTTATGTAACGCGCGATACATGCACGATATAAGTATTAACAGTCATATTTATGATGTAGTTTAGGCAGACACTGTGATTTTATCGTATAAAAACACCCTATTGGTTATATTTAAGGCCAGTTACCTTAAAACCGGATTATTTTGTGTTATTGCATAAATAAATTGACATAATCAAAAGGCTTGGTACAATTTTAGCTGTGTTTTATATTATTTTCGCACTGCTTCCCATGTAACCTTAATAATTTGTTCAGAAGAATATATTCAGAGAGAGAGACATGCTTCGCCACGAATAGAATCCAGGCCAGTACTCCCATCATTCCGTCAGCCCTGATGTCCAATCATTTTATTTATTTATTTATATATACTTTATTGCACACATAGAAAAATTGTAAATCATCAAAAGGCTGGAAACGCACTTGAAAGTCCCTTGGAGTTGCAGACATCCATAGAGGCGATACCGATTGCTTACCAGTCTGCTCATTTGCCAATGTATTCCATAATAAGTTCCGCAAAGTAACGCGACCGTAAAAGCTAAGGCAAAACATACTAACTTTTATCTATCTATTTACGTAGGTATCTACGAGTAGGTATAAATATCTCTTAATTGAACACCATCGTATCTATGGAATTTGAAACTTATCTTTTAATACAGGTCAAGTGATGAGCCGTAGGTGGATTGAACAAAACGTCATATTACATTACGACAAGCCGTTTAGAAAAAGGGTTTTTCATTTAATTATATATAATTAGCAGTGTTCTCTATCTCACTCTGTTCTCTATTTTATTTATCTCTTGTTCTTCTTCTCCCCTGTGAAATGTTTATTCAACCCTATTTTATTATTATTTCAAATTAAGTACTTGGAATATAATTAGTAAGAAATAATTACCTAAGTCATTATTATATATACAATTAATATTAACTATTACTAAATGAAAATATATACAACTTAAAATATAAATAAGTATGAACTAAAATATTTACACATTATTATATTATTATTATAATAAGGCATCAAAAAAAATTTTTTTCCTCATCATTATCGTGAGGTAGGGTGCCCAAAAGACTGGCATCATTACCACGTACTTGTACTACTAAGTACTTGGTAACTTTGCCTAAATGGTTATGCCATTGATGAGTTCACAGTAACAGTACCTACCTATTTATTACTGTATTGAATACCTGCTCAAGTAAGTCGGAAATAATAAATCTGTATGTAACGAGTCTAGTAGAAAAACATACATAAGATCACGCCTTTTATCCCCGAAGGGGTAGGCAGAGGTGTACATTATGCCATTGTACAATGCAACACACACTTTTCACTATTTATGTTATGAGTCCCATGTAATAGGTGGTGAGCCTATTGCTACTATTGCTAGTAGAAACTATTTAAGATGTTAGCTATTTACTATGAGTAAGGAAAATACAACATAAATATACGTGTACTGTACTGTGAATTGTCATTGTTATTGTCTTAGTACTTGTATAATTCACTGAAGGTATACCTAGTGAAGAAACCCCAGCCCCGCCTAGACATATACCGGGCACAGTTCCAGACTCCGTGCTACTACTGAGAATTAAAAAAAAACCCAATAGTACTTTGCCGGACCCGGGAATCGAACCCGAGACCCCTTACCCGGCAGTCGCAATTGCAACCACTCGGCCAACGAGGCAGTCAGGCAGTATATTGTGTGCTTATGTATTAAACTGTCTTGTCTGTGCTACCCAAAGGAAGACTGAGAGATAAAGCGTATCCTATATGGTATAAGCCGACCCCCGTATAGCATTACCTAAGTCCGCCTGTGCGGACTGTGTGTGTGTGTGTGTGTGTGTGTGTGTATGTGTGTGTGTGTGTGTGTGTGTGTGTGTGTGTGTGTGCGTGTGTAATGAATGTATGAAAATAAATAAATACCTATCTTACTTATACTCTTACGTTGCTGAATGACGTCTAAAGTCAACAGTTTCCTACGCGCAGTAGCCACTGAACGTAAACCTATATGTTCCTTTGATTTTTCTATATTCCTAAGTCAATAGGAAAACATAAGAAAATCGTATATTTGCAAATACGAAGTTTTTTATATTAGATGGGATGATGATGTGGCCTACGATGGAGCACGTCGAACCATAAACAACCTATTCACTCGGGCCTTGAAGATACCCAGGTTATACCCTTCAAGAAATATAGACTCTGGCAAGAAATCGCATGTAAAAATAGTTATTGACTAATTATTACTCATTCTAAAATATCATAATATTATTCATCGCAACTAGGTATGGTATATTCACGCGTTCAGGGAATTACAACACTCTACAATATACTACAAGTACAGACTGTAGTATTCCAGTAGATACTACACTCTAATTAAGTAAGTACCTACCGAATCTAAGAAATAATAACAAGTAATGTACTGATTCCTTGGATATTATTGGACACACTTAAAAATGAAAAATACTGGTTCTAAAAAAGTAAAATCCTTTATTACAAAACTTTACATTTTAAATTCATTATTTTCATTGTACAAATAATATAAACGACATTTAAATATTTGTTAAAAAAACTGGCTTATTGAATTGGCACATCCATTACTTAGCTAAAGTAAAATACAGATCGTTCCGATTTGCTTAACTAAAGATGGCGTTATAATTAGGTACGAATTAATCTCTATTTAAAAATGCCTTACTTTTGTTAGGAAAAGGAAATAAATACTTATTTCCTTTCTATCTATTGTGGAGCTACATTATTTAGCAATATCGCACGTGGAGGTTATAAATGCATGTTTTTACATAAATACGATGAGTTCGTAAATAATTAGATTTTTATCGTAAACTAAAAAGTTTTCAATAAAACAAATACAGCAAAAGTGGGGAGTCTATTGTTTTATGTCGGATTTTTCGAATTCATAAATTATGTAAACACCTTAATATCCGAATTATCATCGACTGTCCTTAATAAATGAGTACAGTCAAGCAATAAAGTTATGTAAGCATATAAAAATAATAAAAATAAGAGTTAATATCCCACTGGAAAGAAAAAGGACGGAATTGTTATACGACCCTATACTTACAGCAAACAATTACAGCGATAGGACAAGGTGACATTGTAATTCCGGGAAGTTAAGTAGACATTTGTGATTTACGATTACGATTACACTTTTTGTTAAATCTTAATCATACTGATATTCGTTCGTAAGTAATATAAGTTAATAAAAGTAATACATAACATAGACGCTAAGTAAAACAGTTAATATCATTACATATATATTTAAGACAATAACAGATCTATTTACCACTAAAACACTAGATGACCATCAGTTCTTTTACATTAAAACGTTTACAGGTACATATCTAAAGTACATTATAAAAATACAATCATTAAATGTAGACAAGTGTTTCGAAATAAAACAGAATACAAAACAACGTTCCGACTTTTCGCACGCACAAGTGAATTAATGTTTCAGTTATAAAAATGCTAATTCTGTATCCAAGCAATAAGATCTTATTGCACATTAAACTCTTTCCTTGTTTCTGTGACACAAATAGCCTGACACAGACAATGCCCGACTTTATCATGATTAATTGATTGTTCATATCACTTACTCAGAAATCACAAGTTTTATCAATACTACAATAAATTTACGATGGCAACAATATTGTTATTGAATTTATTTTATATAGGTTTTTGAACTTAAGTAGATTCATTGGCACCAATACGATAATAAATCATAATATTTGTCACGAATATTTAAATTTCCTCTTAGCTAGGTACTCTAAATTCGAGACATGTTTATGAAATGGCTCATGCAAATTATACATCTGTTTGTAATACAAACATTTCTTTCTCTTAAATCGAAACGTTTACTTAAATAATATACAAACTTATTCTAATTATTGAGTAAACTACAGCTTCTACTAAAATTTACTTAGAAGCGTAATATTAAGAGACTAGTGTTTTGTTGAATACAATATTTTCTTAATCAATGGCACCCACAACTCTTGACGACCATGTTTTTATACTTGCGCAAGATCACGTTGGAGTCATCCGTGTAGTACAACACTGATATCGGTGATAACTTGATCGGCGCACACGACGGCTTCGGAACCTACAATCAATTTACAACTTTAAATTCAAGATGTGAAAACTGGATATCCAGCTGAAGAAAAAATATTTTAACTTAAGAATTTGCGTTCCATGAAGCTATTACTCAACCATTTGCAACACATTTCTATGGTTACTTTTTATAATAATGGTATAAGAGATCTTGCAAATGTGGTGTAATCTTTTCCAGTCATTTAATTGTTATTTAAAGTTATTTATAGCCGAAGCTTATATAGAAGAGCCATGCTTCGGCACGAATGGGCCGGCTAGACCGGAGTGATACCACGGCCTCACAGACAACCGACGAGAAACTACTCTTGCGTTTTGTTTCCTTCCAATTATTTCCAAAAGGCTTACCATCAGGTGATCGTTTAACCGGCTTATCCAATGAATAAAGCTAGGAAGTTGATATTTTATTTCCATCAGTTGTTTACAGCTAAATTATGTAGAGTAGGTAGTAGTAGTTATTTAGTAGATATAGGTAATAGGTACTATACCTTCGTAGGATTAAGTAGATGTACTAGAGTTTGTACGATGGCGTGGTTGGTAGCATTCTTGTGCGCGTTCAGAGGGAAGTTGCACTCGCCGCTACAGTAGAACGCACCGTAACCATCCGGAGCTATGATCCAGTCCTGTCAAAAGCCATGTCCTGTTAAATCTACAGTTTTTTATTTAATCAATACTAGCTTCTGCCAGCGGCTTCGCCCGCCTTTTCGCGAGACAAAAAGGGTTTTATGGTCTGGAATAGTAAATCCAGACCATTATCTACCACTATTCCAAATTTCATATCGATTCCTTGAGCCCTTTTGACGTGATGGCGTAACAAAGAAACTACATTTTCCCATTTATTGTAAACTAGCTGTGCCCGCGACTTCGTTCGCGTAGAATAGTGACTATGAGCAGCGTTTTTTTTTAAATATATACTTATTTTTATTTTAGATAATAGCCCCTGCTATTTTTTTTATTTTTATTTTCAATGTACAGACAGCACTTTTCTACAATTTTATTATATGTATAGATGGGAAAGTGTAGTTTCTTTAGTATCAGTAAGATAACTTAAATATTATAGTTAAATACAAATTAAGAAGTTTCGAAAACAATGACATAATAGAGGTATACGGAACTCCACCAGCGCTCGGTTATTGTGAATTAATTTAAATCAAAGTTACTTGATGTATGCAAACACGAATCGGCTGAGATGAGCGGATTCCTGTTGTTCAGCTTTTCACACTAACCTGCCATTCTAAATCTTTAAAACTGACATACAAAGTCTGGATCTCACAACTTCTCGTGGTCCAATGAGAGGTATCTGCAACAAACATAATAAAATGGAAATAACACCATAAATGAAGTAATTATATATGAAAAACGACCCATTATATCACTTAATTTTTTGCGCAAAAGAGGGACTGTAGAAGACAAAAATCAATTCAGGATAGTGAAAAAGATCTATCAAGAGGATGTTTAACTCAATTCTATCGCGGACACTCATACTTATATTTATACATCAACTTACTAGGTTCCTTTATAAAATAAATAGGTTGGATAACCTACGAAAATTACCTACAACTGTGATACAGCTGAGTCAACTCGTTCGGACAAAAGTCCATAATCACCATGGTAACTAAACCAAAAATAATTAGCAATTTTGATTATAAATGCCATTAGAAACTTACGTAGGTAGGTATCTATATTACCGTATGAGGTATTATTATTACGTAGGTTTCAGATATAATTCACTTATTGTTTATGAGTCACATCGATCATACTATTGTAACGCACAAATCTCGAGTACTTAATGATAACGATACAAAATATCATTCAGATATAACAACGTTAGTCATGAATAATATGACGACCATATTAAGCCCTTGAATGTTTACCCCGTTCAACTGTTCGGAGCTGTATTTGTTTGTATCTTGACTCTTGTCATATCTTCGAATGGACAAATGGTCTTAAATTTTGCAAAAAGTCAAAAGCTAATAGACCAAGAACCAATACCTCTAGTTCTCAGATATTCAGAAATCAGCAAAGAAATCTGTTTTTTTAGGGTACTTTGAAATCGCCCCCCTCCAGTTACAATTTAATGCTCAACTTGTAATGAGGTAAAGATTCATTTTATTCAATAAACTTCTTGGGCTGTTTTTATTTTTAGGGGCTTTTAACCAATGGACCTCGGCCAGCCCCATATCTCGAATGTTGGTATTGAGACGACAGTCACGTAAGTAATATAGAGCTTTTCAACGGTAGATATTTGTTAAAATTTCATATATTACACTGAGTATCTTCGAGGAACTTCAATAATTTCACTTATAAATCATACTCAATTGCGCAGTAATTTATTGATAAATCTAATTAAATACAAGGGGTATTTCATTAGTCCTTTACACTTATAGTCGTGTTTGTAAATACTGGGTGTATTTACACTGAATAAAACCGTATGGGCCCCATTAAATTAAATATAATAACAAGAATTTTAAAAATACAAACAAACGTACACACCTGTAAGAGGATTTCTAAGATAGTTCTCGGAATATCCGTGAGAGCGCCACCGTCTCGCCTCGCGTTTTCTCCGGGCGCCTGCGTCTGCGCCGGCCAGTTTCGGTCCACTCTTGAAGAAGGCCACTACGAACGGCTGCTTCCCCTCCACTATTACTCCACGAGGTTCCTCTAATCCAATCTCTTCAGGTTTCACGTGACGTTCTAGAAAACAAAAAATACATTTGAAAAATAAAATTCGGTTACTTGATAACGTGCTTATTTATCCATTAAATTCTACAGGAAGTAGCCAGTAGATAACTGCGTTACAACTTTTACTTGTAAAATAAACTACAATGCCAATGTAATTACATGGAACCCATATGGGTATATGGCAGTTACATTGTATTATGTATGTACCATGCACCTCTAAATATCCCTTCGGAGTTTAAACGGTGTGACGTTATGTAAGTACCATAATATAATAATTGAGAGAATTGGCAGTCTCCTTAATGTCACTAATAATTAACTATTATTAACTCCCTTTTATCTTCATTTTTTCTTTTAGTTTATCTTCTTTAGCTTCAATAAAGGCGTGACTCGGCCACGTCGAGATAAATTAATTACAAAATGGCTCTAGAAGTCATAAAAAGACTTATTGGACATTTAACATTCCGACAATGCCATATAGGTATAAGTTGTATGCCTACCAGGCTGCGAGTGAGGATGCAGCGTTATGAAGAAGCCTCGATTGTCTGCCGGTGATGAGAGCCACGCCCCCAGCGCACTAGTCACGTTCAGCTCTAACCATCCCTCGGCACCAGCACTCGTGTTCACCGCGGCCACCTGCTCCATTTGCAGGCTCCTAAAATCACAAATTATGTCATGTTATTTAAAATATAAAGACCCTAGATTATTGTTATTCTCTGCAAGGTATCAGCTATAAAGTTGTGCATTTGTTATCCTATTCAGTATTTTATTAGGCAGTAAATAGCAAATATTGCTTGAGTGTATGTAATGTTACAAATGTCTTATATCGAGATAATGTAAGGTACCTATAAGGCTACCTAAAATAAACATTTTGTATACTCATCATCAACACCAACCGGGCAAAGCCCTGAAGGGCCGTAGTCTTGAATAATGTATTAATTTTGTCAGCGTGCTAAAGTAAAAAGCTTTTAAGTTTTCGTCTTTTTCTAGTAATCAACATTACTGGCCTAATGTTATGGAAAAAAGAAATGATGCCATTAACTAGTTTTTATTTAATGTTCCTTATAATAATAAATGGTTTTCGGCCAGTTTTTAATATAAAGTAACCAAATAGGTTGGTTCTTTGTTTTTTGAAATGAATACTTTTTTTATTATTTTAATCAAACCAATGATTCTGGTTTTCTGCTGCGAAAGTAAAGATATGATGCCATTTACTATTTTGTAATTTTATTATTTCTTTATGAATAAATGGGTGTTGGCAGTAAATTTCAACGAGTTCCGCCAGTATTAATTGATATGGTTTAAAAAATAGGTCGGTTAGTTGAAAACTAACTAAATAACTTTTTTGTTTTATTTTCTTTGTAAGTAGATTTTAAGTCTTTAAACTGTCAAACACCAAGCGGTCACCGGTGACCGCAACCTATTGTTCTATAATTTTGTCTACAAAACCGGTACTCGACGAGTTAATTTGAAACGTAGGTATTATTTTAGTAAGATGGGTTGGGTAGTAAAACTAAATAAATAATCGGTTGAAATTGCAAATCAAATATCTAAGCATACCACGACAACTGCAAAAACTTCTGTATTAAACGTTTAATAAAAAAATATTGTTAGGTTAGGTTATTTATTACCCTGTTATTTTTTATTGCCTATTTTACCAGATTAACTTATAATTTTGCATAAGTAAACAATAGCATACCCTAAATTGTCAACGCTGATGACCCTGTGTGCAACGACTGTATAGAGTGCGGTTGGGTCCTCAGTGTGCGTAGGCGCTTGATGTAAACGCAGTTCCGCAGACAGAAGTGCAGACGCATCGCCGGGTGCTCCAGTCACCTCGAACCAGACGTGTCGGCCGTGGCCATGACGTAATGCTCCCAAATGATGCCCTGAAAAACGGAAAGGAAATAAATAGATTACTTACTTATAAAAATAATAATAATTTTGAATGTATGGTTCAACATTATTATTATTCCCGCTACTGATGGGCTCCTACTTTTATATTATTAAATATTATATTATATATAAAAATTATAAATATCGTCGTGTTGTAAAAAATGTCGTGGTGACCCGGAGGTTTAAGACGTTTCTCATGCATGAAGGTACGGGTTCGAAACCTACCAACGGTAAGTATCAATATGACTTTTTCTGCAGTTATTATCTACTTTCTAAGATTAACTAGCTAGATACCTGTGACAAACGGTGAAGGAAAACATAGTGAGGAAACCTGGGCTTATAATTTCTAATTATAAATTTGTGATATATTAGTTATTCTAGTTTTCTAGTTATATCTATTTTAATGTATCTACCTATATATTATTTATTTGATATGTAGGTATAGATAGTATTATATTGTATGTATTGTTTTAATTATTATTGTACACTAGACGACCCCCTTTTTTCCAACTGCTGTTTACTGGCTCCATCCAAAGGTTGTCTGTAAGAAATCGTATTCTGCGATAAGACCGCCCATTGTATCTACACATTCTTTTATGTTTATTTTTCTATGTATATTTTTATGGTGTACCATAAAGTGTGTAAATAAATAAATAAATAATCGCCAACCGCTAACCAACTATATCCGCATTGTGCAAGCGTGGTTATTAATGCTCAAACCTTCTCCGTGTGAGAATACTTTTTTAAAAGAGTAACGAATGGAGTTTCTTGCTCGTTCTTCTCCATTCGAATCTACGTTTTGGAATGAGCACCTAGCTTCACCTAGCTTCACTGACGGACTGACTGACAGACTATTATTTATTTTGTATTTGTTGACGTTTCAAAAGTACCAAACTATGGTTTAATTGAAATAAATGCTTTGACTTTGACTTTGACTTTGACTTTGAAGAGGCTTTGCTCAGCAGTGGGCATAAATAGGCTGTTGATGATGATGATATATTATATTTTTGAAGTAGTATTGAAAAGTGCAATTTTATACTATTTTCTTAGTAAATACATGGAAACATAAAGCAGTTTTAAAAAAATATTTTAATTTGAAATTTCTTATGTGTCGTACAAACGTTTGATTGCACGATTGGCGTGGGTAAATCTTTGTGTGATACATAAATTTTATTGTTGTGTGTCTGGATATGATGAGTATGTGTAGTGAGGGCGCCTGAAGCTCAATGTCATCCCATCATCTTAAAAAGTTGTTATAAAAACTAAACTTTATCTTTTCCGATATCTACGTAGCTGAATATTAAGATTACCTATTATTTAAATTATGTATAGGTATGAAATCATCACGTAGGTACAACATTTTATAATCAGTTCAATTCGTCACAATATAGTTTGCAATAAGAATTGTGAACAGGTGTCCAACGATCCGGTTGTAATCTGACTCCGACTCCAGGTGTACGTAATAAATAACAAATATTAGGTTTGAAAATAAAGTATGGAATTATGTTTTATGCATAAGTAGTCTTAAAATAATGATTATTCATGAGACCAACCACATAGATCTGTAATTCTGTACACAATAAGACAGGCGTCGAAGTAGACACTGCGTCGTAGAACTGACTTAATCAAGGTAAATTAAAATAATGTTGTAAATAGAACCTAGATATTAATATAATATTATTATAGGTACCTGTACTGTTTGGTGCAGTACAGGTAGTGGTTTTTTTGAGATGGAATATCATCCAATGGCTCCTCACGCCCGGGTGAGGCGAGAGGGAGTATCAGACTCTTATTGACTAAAAAGCACCTCGTTCCTACTCCTGTTCTTATACCCCGTTCCTACTACCTCCTACCACTTCGAACCGGAGCCCTGGCATCCCGTTAAGCCCTCCGCGGCTCCGTATCGGCATCAGCCCCAAAGCCGGACGCATTCCTGAGGATACGACGGTGCTCAGCCCACGCAAGGCACCCCGCCATAGTATGGTCCACCGTGTCCTCGGGGCTGTCCTCGCAGTGATGACACCCGCGCGTCTCCTCCTGCTCAATCCGAAACAGAAACCTACCGAAACTTCCGTATCCGGTAAGCACCTGCACCAAGCGGTATGAGAGAACGCCGTAGTGTCTCTCAAGCCACTCCTCAAAGAGGAGATTTACCGCTGCCATGCATCTACGTCTATATTCTGTATACGCATAGTATATAAGCAAATACTTCCCTTAACAAATATAATGCTTATCAGAATGTTCCCACAGCATCCTCGCTTGACTTCACATAAGAATTCTGCTACACATATAGCAACTATAAGCCTTCTTGGCTTGATTACAGCGATGGCGACGTATTATGTAATCAATTATGCGTTTACTTAAACTCAACATCGAATTAAAGAGACACAACGACGCGCCAGTCTGTCTGCTCTACACAAATAAATTGAAGAGATCCAGATAGAAAAGGCGCTATGTTAATATTTTAACTACTTAGGTTAATAACAATTAAATACATTATGTAAATGTAACAAATTGTATTCGTTAATAGTAGGTAGATCTTTTGATATGAGTACGATGTAATAGAGGTTCGTTCCATGGGGGGAACCCATGGTTATAATTATACTTGTAGCGGAATTCAAAAGAAGTATTCATAAAGGATTTGATTAACAATGAATAATACTCAATAAATAATCGAACTATCGGACCAGTGTCCGATAGTTCGATTATTTCATTTCGATAGTCCAGAAACAGTTTCAAGCTAGCAAGCAACATAGTTTTAAGCTACTTAAATTTAAATCATTTATTTGGCAATTGCCTATCTGGGTCGTAGAAGGTGTTACATAAGTTTATTTCGATTCTTGTTTACCTTTTAAAGGCGTAAATTTACGTTGTGTAAATAAATTAATTATGTTTCCATTATTAGATACAATTTTTAAAAGATCTATCAACAGTAATTAGTGGCGTTTTACTGGAGAAAGCAGGGAAAATGTTTATTATTTGTATGACATCTAAGATTATGTGGTTCGCCTTTGACCGTTTTAGATAACATAACAAATTATACGTAACTATAAGACTTGTGTATAAATAACACTATAGGTACATTGTTACGTACGATCTAGTTATACTTATATACAAATCATTTGCACAGTAAGTACGAACTTATACATAAGTATGTGTATTTATAGACAGGCCTATAAATATTATAACATTATTGTTTATGTGCGGACCATTCATTATTTTCCTTGAATAGATAGCAATGCATTACGGTCTAGAAAGAACCGGCAGTCAGTTAAACATATTATTATATTATGTTGCAGCATTCATTCATTCATCATAGGTACTGTACTTACGTACATGTCATACTTGAATTAAAAAAACGTTATTATAAGAATGTAAACACAATACAGAGTGCGGTAGCTTTTCTACAACGAGACGTGGTCTACAAATTGAAACTCTGTTATATTGTGTACTATTCAGAATTGTGTATATGTGAAGTTAAAAAACGAGATTAAACAGATATGGTTGCTGATAATATGCTGTAAACCTTTCTACTACCTTTATGCCTTAACAATTACAATTCGGCGCCGGCGCCGCTGAGATCAAATGCCATTAAACATAATTATGGAATCCGTAATACCAGGAATGTTTACCAAAGCGGTGACTCAACATTTTTGTCTACAACTTCTTACCTGAACCTCCCAGGTAGTTGTAATGGAATGCTTTTGATGCATTCTCAAAAACAAAAGATTTACGGACATGAAAGGGTCCCATACACAATACACAGTATGTGTCATTAAGTTTAACGATTAATTTTACCGGCACTGCCTTGTTAACCGTTTAACTCGGTGTTAAATATTTTTAAATGAGTTGGAGATCTTGGAATAGCACTATTATATCCTCTGCTGTACATTATCTAGATAAAGTTTTGTCAAATTTTCGAGACTATTGTGAGACATTTTTAAATAAATAATATAAGGAATTATCATACGGATCACATAAACATTTTTGTTAGTTATTTTTAAAACTACATATACGTAGGTAACAGGATAATGGGTACCACAAAATTCTATAATAGGTACCAGCTTTACCATCGTGGTATTTAATGTACTAATTTAAATAGATAAGTATTTGTAAATTAAACTCACTCTTGCTCTGAAAGGTCATGATGAGGTCACTCTCGTCAATGGCGTGCTGCTCATCACCGCTGAGGGCCATCTCCGAGCTACGGGTTGGGCGAGCCTGCTCATGTTCTTCGGCAAGCTGCTTGTATACGTCTAACAAGAAACTGGGCGCCGAACGGTCCAGCGGAGGCGCTCGAGCTCGACGTGGCCTCTCCCCAAGACCTAAAAGTTCTAATATCTCATGTTCTACTACCATCCGCTCGTGTCTTGTCATCGAGTGATGTATGACGGTCTGATCCACGCCATTGTCGATATACAATCCAGAGAGGGCGGCCTCGGCCGCTACAGTAAACAAAATAAAACACGCGCACAAGCACATCGTCTTCGGGCCAGCCATGTTCGCTGTCGGAGCGCTCACTCGACTGGCGAGAACTGAGCGCAGAGGCGCGCGGCGGGATCAGCCGGTGAACCTGCCCACTCAAGGTGGGCCGCCGCCGCCGCCGGCGCCGCACTTGCCACATTCCTCCCCGCCATCGCCTTACATACATCGTCCGTTTTAATAACGTTTGTAAACACTAAACATTGAGCCGGACACGTCCAGCCTGCCTGCCTGCTTATAATTTATACTACTTCATTTAATGCATTCCTTACTGTGCAGTACAAATAAGATCATACACATCAGTCAGCAGGTAGCTGTCTAAGCCTTTTGGGAGTCCTTTCAAGTTGATTTCAAGAATAAAATCTCGAACCACCCGTGTGCCAACATATATTTCTATTGTCGGCGCCCTTATCCTCATTGACACTTAGTTAGCCTACCATTATTCTAACTTGCCAAATGGTAAAGCTTAAATATTTTACTTTATTTAATATAACATCACGGCGTTTACCTAAAGAGGCAGGCAGAGGTGCACATTATAAGTTTAATGTACCTTTGTAAAATGCAACGCTCGCTTTTCACTAGCTACATATTACTGTATTTCGAAAATCTGAAACCACCCTAACTATGTATAATTTACCCGACTCACGAATCTTACCCACTTATTTCAGATCTAGTGCAAATGATTTTTATCATAGATCAGAGTTCTTAAATCTGGCAGTATTTCTTCCCCATGTTTCAGGGACTCTAAACCGATAGATTCAAAATTGTAATCGTCTGTAATTATTATATAACAGGCTATACACCCTTCATGTTACCTTGCCATACGTACCTAATAGCGTATAAATCTAATGCTGAAGCACAAACATACGTAATAATATCATACGCTTTTACCATTAACTGACTCGCGGACGAACAAGTCCCCAATCAGACAACAATAAACATATAGCAATTTCCACTACAAACAACACCATAAAATGCACATAGCAAAACAAATAAATAAACACAAAAAAGCAAATAAAAATCGTGTAGTTACATACAACCTATCCATAAAAAAACATTAAATTATTAAAAAACAAAGTGAATCGGAGCATCCTACCGCCCCCGCCACCCCAGCAACCAACTCACATGTACATACACTTGGATTACGATATTATCATTAGGAATATTATTAATTCAGCGTGGGAACGCCTCAATAACTTACAAAAGATTATTAACCAGACTAGACTGTCTTACATGGCTTACTCTTGAATCCAATTTCGATCGATCGACATTGGTTTTGCGAAATTTTGTACTCTTTAGTTGCATCACTAGCGCTCATTGTATCCGTATTGCGTGGATATTGAAACTAAATGGTATTGAGTTTGTCTTTATATTCCGTACTCTGAATGCTATTGTAAAAGCTACGATTGTGGTTGTATAGTTTTGACATTGAATAATTATTGAGATTTGATTGGATTGAAATTGCACTGACATTGAAATTGGTTTCCAGAGTAAGCACCCTGATTTCATGTATAACCAAGTTTTAACCCTACCAGCCCAAAATGTATAAACCCTAATTATACACTTAAGTTGTGCAAAGATGGTATAGCTGTACCTCGTTGTGCGTAAGACGTAACGCGTAGCTCGTAGCGCATACCTCGTAGTGCCTAGCGCGTCGTGCGTAACGCATAGTGCGTAGCTCGTAGCTCGTAGTACGTAATTCGTCATGCGTAGCTCGTAGTGCGTAGCTTGTAGTACGTAGCGCGTAATTCGTCGTGCGTAGCTCGTAGCTCGTAGTACGTAGCGCGTAATTCGTCGTGCGTAGCTAGTCGGACGTAGCTCGTCGTGCCTACCTCGTAGTGTGTAACGCGTAGTTCATGGCATGTAACAGCGTTGGAACGTTATTTATCTTGTAGTTGTGTAATGGAATGCTTCAACTGTAATAGTTAATACTACGCGTTACCACCTACGTGCTACGAGTATTTCAGCCTTAATGAAATACAGAGTTGCCGTATTTCGAGCTTTGGGCATTGCATAAAAACTTGGCTCTACATGAAATAGTATTGCTAGTAGTAGTAGTAGTACTTAGTAATATCGCGTCACACGCATGGTTGCATCTATTACACAGACAAAAGTAAAGACGCGATAAGCAAACTAATCAGGAAGGCGGCCTGTGAGAGTGAGCAAGGGATTAGGGACTAGAACCTGAAAATGGCCATCAAACACAGGGACGCGGCGGTTGTGGGTGCTCTTTTGGGCGGGGAATGTTGCTTGTGATGAGACGAATGCAACATGGGGAAATGTGTATGCAGAAATATGATGATATAGAAAATAACCTTTTGACTTTTGGACTATTGCAGGCTTTATTGAAGTCGGCCAACGTAGCAAGGGTTGAGGCGTCATGCACACATAAATGCCCTACAGTTGGTGGCGCTGTGTGTTGGGTTGTTCCGTTCCCAATAAAAAGGTTGACCGGACCAATTGCTGACACACACGTCATACTCGTGATCGGGTGCCTTCTGCTGGGTCAGGTTGTTGGTGGGCTGATTTCATGAAGCCTTATAAGTAGATAATGCCTAATTATTATGTAATTTATACTTTTAGTAATAATTATAGATGTGATTAATTGTAGTATGTAATTAGGTACCTTCTTTACTTTATAAAAATAGATTAGACGGCACGGACCTAGAGACCGTGGAGAATTAATTCGTAAAATAAAATAAAAAATTGTATTTCTTTTTAAGGGGCCAGTAGAATACCAGCGCGAGGCCCTGTCTTGCACATGCTGAGCTGGTCCCATTTCACCGCAGACTTGGGACATTAGTAGTTACATATTAGTGAACTTATGTGTAAAATCTGTATGTGTCACCTGTTTTAGCGTGTGATATAGTTTTTCTTTCTTTCTTTGTCTTATCCCATAATGCAGGGTTTGAGGAACGATTAAAAAAATACCACAATGTTAGGTTTGAGCGACAATTAAAAAAAACTTCGACTGAGTTTAGTTTTAAGATAAACCATAATCCAAACATAAAATCTAACAGTCAAAAATATGGTATTTAGTACACTGCAATACAGTACATATTTGGAAAAAGCTCAGGTAACATTTACTTACATTTTTTGGATAACTTAATTATAACTGTCGGCCAAGCATAGCGTGACGCTATGCTTGGCCGACAGTTATAAAGTCAATATAGATATAAAGTTATAAAGTTATAAAGTCGTGGTTAATTATAGTTCTATCTCTACAAATTCTTTGTAAAATGACAGAGATGGCACGATATTTGAGCACGACTTAAAATTGAGTAACGTTTCAGTATTCCGGCATTACCCTCTAGTACAAGGGAGACCTATCTGGTGTAAAGTAGATGTTACAATGTATGTACAACAATGTCGCGGTGATCAGCGTATTAACAACTGTACCAAGAATTAGTTTTTTTTTTCTTAATGTGACAATATTTTTATTATTACTCGAAGTTTTATTTTGTCAAGAAGTTACAAAGCACGAAGCGGTAAAGGGAAATCTGTCCACGCCAGTGGATTGATGGATCGTGAACCAGAAAATTCAAATCTTTGAGGAAGAACAAAAAAAATAAAATGGGAAAGTATCTCTTTTATTGTGTAACAAAATCTTAAGATATAGTCTATGTATACACTTTACATTATTAACTTATGGAGGTACTTAAATATTAGAAAATAAACATTCAAAATTAATGTGAAGTATTCACATTAGTGCCACATTAGCTAATCATTTAGCATACTTATTGACTACACTTACTAATTTGCTATTTAATGGACCATTAGCTAATTTGTGTTTAATTATTCATTAAATGAAATTACACCACACATTCCAAGATGAAATTATTAACATTTTATTCTAAACAACTTTTTTTTAGAATGTTTTTACAGTCCATCTTTATCTAAACTTACTAAAATAACTTACAATTTAATGAATTACAATTAGGTATCACTATTTAACATACTTTTCCATGAATTTCTTATGAAATTCTGATCTTAAAGAATCATTTATGAAAGTGTTGCCTTTCTTCTCAGGTTCAGAACGAGCACAATTTTTGAAAACAACATCATCATCCCAGCGTCGTTTAACCTGGAATAAACAAAATCATATTTTGAATTAGTTTTGTAAACAACATGACAAACAACAAACACAAGACAGTAGAGTAGTAGAGACATGAATTTTATCATTCAGGTAAAATAATATCATTAACCCGTTGAAATCCACCCCCTAAATTTGGTCATACAAAAGTAGTCTCTAAACATTACAAATAACGTTTATAATGTAATGTAATATTAGTGGAAAGCGGTCACCGGTGACCGCTTGGTGATTTATGGGTTAATTATGACTACCCAATTAGTTGAGTGGTTTCGACCACAACTGCCATGCAAATTATCTCATAGTTCATTTCCCATGTCAACAAAGTATAATTGGAATCTATTTGGGCTTTCTTTTATAAGGACCATACCAATAATTTTAATGGCTATGCCATATGCCAAAACCAGCCTATAAATAAAACAACCACTGATAAAAATTAGAAAACAATCAATCTATATGAATTAAACTGTCAAACACCAAGCGGTCACCGGTGACCGCAACCTATTGTTCTATAATTGTGTCTATAATGACGGTACTTGACGAGTTAAAAGATTGAAAATAACCTTCATATCATTCTTCTGTCCTGCTGAAGAATAATTCAATAATGGATTTCCAGACAGAATATTTTCCATGCGAATCCTTTCTTCTTCCTGCTTGCGTTCAGCTTCCTGTAAACAAAAATCACTTTATTATTTGAACTGCATTCATTTTCTGTTTCTTCTCCAATATAAAATAAATCAAGGAAACTTACAGATTTACAACATGCATTACATTTGAAGAATATATCAACATAAAGATTTGACCATATCTTATGACTTTAAATAAAGGGATTGTTTTCTAGAAGACAACATAATATGAAAAGTTTAGTAACTTCAAAATGATACTAATCCAACGAGGAGATATAAAAATAAATAATTTCAACAATTCCTATTCATATTTACCTTCTTAGCCTGTTCTATAGCCCTTTCTTTTTTAATTTTGTTTAACTCTGCTAGCAAAGCTGCAGTGTCATCATCGGAATCATCAGAGTCAGACGAGTCTCCTTCAAGAGGATCATCAGCATCCAAGCTCGCTGCCGGAACCTGGTCTACTTTAGGTCTCTTAGTGGGGGGCTCTACAGGTCTCCTTGTACTAGAACTTTTCACTTCCTTCTCCCTTTCATCTAACTCCTTACGAAAGTCTCTTGAACGTAATTCATCTGTAGTACCTTGACCTTGTTCTCTGAAAATAAAATTAACTGTTTACTCAAGTACATTTCACAGTATTACGAAATATAATAATACCACGTAGATATATGGAAAACGGGAATCACAAACTATATCAGCAACTAGAGAATGCTACTACGACAGTGAATGTCTTCCCTAATAATGGCCATCATAACGAAAACAACAAAACAAATTAATTAGGTGCCTATAAAATAATCAAAGAAACTATGAACATGTTCACATCTAATAATGTTAATTATATTCCTGTTACGTACCTGTATTTTAGTTTAGTGTGGCCTGGAAGATCTCTACTAGAATATTGACGAGATATTGCACTAAGATCTTTTTCACCTCGTCCGGTTCCTCCTCGTGCTGGATCAAATGTTGGTCTTGCTGCAGTCGTCATTTTTCAATATATAGGAATCACCTAAGTTTAAGTTCGAACAACTTTACGAATTACTGATTAATTGTGAAGTTATAATCGACTCACTGCACTGACACCAAACACTTAATTTGTCACAAATTATTTTCCATACACATTACACTCTTTGCAAATTATAAAGGAAAAGAAAGGAAAGCAGTAACAGAGCAGCAAAAGTAAATACTGTGCTTGTGGGCTTTTATGGTGTTTTTGGAGACTAAAATTCTGGAGATGCTCACGATACGACGGCCGCTTAAATTATGAGCACACTACACTCACACTGGCAGTTGGCACAGCACAGCACCGCTAAATCATAGACAAGTACCATAGATTCTAGATTAAATCCATAGACAAATTGACATTCAAGATGTGTCTATGGCCATATCTAGGGACTAGGGATGGCTTTTGAAAGAGTAGAAAATAAATCGATATTTTATCGATAATTATTATTTTAGTGGAGGATTTTAATTGGTTCTTATCAATTTTTATTATTTATCTAACTTTGAATTTTAACTATCTGTCACCGGATACTTCGTTATTTCGTGTATTAATCCACTTTTTTGAATAAATCCTTATGTAAAGTAATCAAGTACCTACTTAGTGATCTGTGGTAAACGAGCCAGATTCAGTGTTGCCAACTGTATGGTGTAAATAGTATTTTTCTATGACTTTTTTGGCTTTGGGCTTTGGTACGATGTACGATCGTACATTACTAATCGTAAGCAAAATATACGAACTTTGAGTGTACAATAATAATACGAACAAATATACGATCAGTAATCCAGTGATATATTACGCAAATTAAATTAATTATTCATGTACAAAAGAATAATAATCTTCGACTCCTGCGTCTTGTGTTGCTAGCATTGACTCTGATGGCGACTTAAACTTAAAAAAGCTGAGCAAGAGCTGAGCTGTTATCAATTGCTGAAACGTTTTTTAAAGTTCCTAAAACATTGTCAAAAAGACTTTATAAAAAATTAATAGTTTTTACTCCAATTCAGCAAAACAGGTATTGATTTTTAAAATTAGCACTATTTTTTTTGGAAACCTTCGTTCTCCAGACTCTAAATAATTTTCTGCGGTTTTATTAAATTCTTTAATAAATACGATTTATTTTCAAGAATTCTTGGTAAAATATGATTTTTCCTAGTGTGTTGTACGATTCTGTAGAAAATAAATTTGGCAACACTGACCAAATTTTGTATCAGCTCTAGTCACTACACTAGGCGTTACAAAGAATAAAAATAAAAAAGAGTCACCACTAGTTATGGTCAGTTAGTCACTCACTACAGTACTAGTCTGCGTCAGAGTAAAAACTGATAAGTGCTGTTGTTTTTGGATTTGATACAATATATCCACATAAAATCTACATTTTTGTTTATCGAAATAACTTAAATAAGGTAAGTTAATAGAATAGCACATTTTGATAACGGAGGTCAATTATCCAACTTTTAATTTGCGATTACAAAATATTCCTGGCAGCCAGACGCCATTTTGTCTTCGTGTGTAGCACAATACTTCCAACACATTGTCGCAGTGTTATTTTTATTTATGTAACATCTACTAAAATCTAATAACCTGTTGTTAAGGTTAAAATTACGTTTCCAAAATTGAATCCCTATTCTCTATCAAAAGTAATCTTCGTAATTTCAAGGTTGTCCTAGTTACAAGCTAGCCTAGCTTTTATTTATTACGAAAATATTAATAATCTAATCCTATAAATTTGTTTTAGAATGGCTGAAGATTTAGATGTAGAAGCTATGTTGGAGGCGCCCTATAATAATAAATCGGTAAGTACCTTTAAAACTAAATCTAATTCATTTGAACAGCTCTCATCAATTCCCACTCAATAATACTAGCATTTCAATCGTCCTGTAAACAAGCATAATTATTATGTTAGTTTTTTAATCAACCAATAAACGACTAATAATAGTGCCAATGCTCAAATTAAATTTATCTCTTGCCTCCCTGTATAATTTTATTTCTATTGTATCTTCCAATCATTTATCCACTAAAGATACAAAAATCCATGTTATTTAATTTTGAATCATGTAAATGTTTCTTTTTAAATATTTGCATTGTAAAATTTGTGATGTAAACAAATAAGTCATGTGGCTTTTAACTGTTTAAAGATGTTATAAACTAATGTTTTTGCTAAATTTGCATTTTGACATGTTGTTAATTACTAGTTAATTACATCTTTAAACAGCAAATGGTAAGAAATTTAAAACAAAATTACATTTGAGAATCATTTCTTGTATTTATAGAACTTTGTGGTAATAGTCGAGCATACTTCACCGACCTGACTGCAAGAGGTATCCACCACTATACTTACCTAATTTTAATTAATTGAAATTCAACACAATCCTAACATTGTTATGTAAATCACCTTTTAAAGTCAAAAAGTAAGAATGTCATAGAGCGTAATTTTAAAAAAAGACCATGAGCTGATGGGTCATAAATCTTTTGCAGAAGTATCCCTGTGTGATGTTAGCGCTGTGTGCATCCTTTGTCAGTGGTTATACGAACGGTAAGTGTAGAACAGGGACACGAGACTACCATGACATGGATGAACATTGGTTGGTTAATAAACCAGCTGCCAACAGTAGCCTAGGCAAAGTAAAACCATCAGCATTTGTGTTGTTTCATCAGTGACATTTTATTAATGACATTGTTGAAATGCTGCAAATGTTCTCCATGTTGTTGTTATCAATTAACTAATGCAATTTTTATTTATTCACTCGGCGTGTGTTGCTGTGGCGCTGCTTCTACCTTGTGCTTTGTGTGACAGGATAACACTTCCTCTTCAAAGCATCGATCGGACAAGTATTCTGATAAGCACAAAGACAGAGACCGGGATGGAAGTCGAAGGTATGAACTTTTCCATTATTAAATATTAGATTGTTATTTGTGTTGCATCCTTCTTTTAATAGAAATGATGACAAGATAAGAAAATGAATCATCTACTTAGACTGTTAGTGAAAAATACACATTTATGGTCAAAATAACCTGAAAATCACACACAAAATCACATGATCAGTCTATAAGTGCTGAGCAAAGGTTTCTTCTCATACCTCTGTGAGGTTTGAGCATAAATTACCACGCATGCATATGGCGGCATTAGCTAGCGGCTTCGCCCGCGTTGCCCATGTGTTATTTTAGACTAATGGCCGTCTTCGCCAACCGGCCGTCTATCTCTAGTCTGTCAAACAACCAAGTCAATATTTTTTTCGTGAGAAAGTAAGATCAAACATATAACATATACATTATACAGGGAATGAAAAAATGTGTCTCAATATTTCTAATTGATCAAATCGACATTAAAAACCATTTTAGTCATCACTTGTATTATAAATAAGCTCAAATCAGTAAAATATTTTAACAAACATTTTATTGCTCCTTCAGCTGGTAGGGTAGTACCTAGGTATGATTTAGTGATTGTGGTGCTAAATTATCTTGCAAATACGTCACTTCTATTTGGAGATCAATTTGAGTGACGGTGCCTTCGCTCTTCCATTACATGAAAATAATATAATATCATGCGTTTTAATGCCCGGTGAGGATAGGTGGTCAAAGGTGCACATAATAATAATTAACCCACTTTTCACCAGTTAGAAGTCCCAATGTCCCTGGTAACAGAGGCTCTATTAGTGCCAAAATAAGGCCAAAGTTCAGTTCAATTCAACTTATTCAGTCAATTCATTATAAAAATTATATTATTTCGACTAACCCGATAAATTGAAGTAACTTCTTCAATTATTATACTTACTTAATTTTTATATCAACTAATTTATGGTTATTTATTACTCGGTATACCGACAGCATAGCATAGCAGTTAATGGGTCAATCAATAATAATTACTCAATTTTACAGACGTAGCCGGTCAAGAGATAGAAGAAAATCGAAAGAAAGAGATACACGCCGTTCAAAAGAAAGAGATGATAGGAGAGAAAAAGATCGTGAACGGGACAAAGATCGTAAGGATCGTGATCGTGACCGCGAGCGTGATCGTGACCGCGACCGTGAACGTGATCGAGGCGACCGTAGCGAGCGCGATCGCGACCGCGGCGAACGTGACCGTGATCGCGAAAGAGATCGTGGAGATAGAGACCGCGAGCGTGATCGTGAACGCGAACGTGACCGGGACAAGGATAAGGACAGAGATCGCACTCATAGAGATAAAGAACGAGACAAGGATAAAGAACGTGAACGCGATAGAGATAAAAGACGAAGCAGAGACAAAGAACGCAGTCGAGAACGTGACCGCAGCAGCCGCGACCGTACCTCTAATAGCAAAAGGGAAAAGACTATTGAAAGAGATCCTTCTAAAGAATATCGATCAAAATCTAGAGGTCTCGAGCCTAAATTAGATGACTTACCTCCAGAAGAACGAGATCTACGCACTGTTTTCTGTATGCAATTATCTCAAAGAATTCGAGCTAAAGATCTTGAAGAATTTTTCTCTTCAGTTGGCAAAGTTAGAGATGTAAGGCTTATCACCTGCAATAAAACCAGAAGATTTAAAGGAATAGCTTATATTGAATTTAAAGATGCTGAATCAGTACCTTTGGTAAGTATTGTTTTTTTTTTTTTTTGTTAAGATATTTACCATAAGAGTAATTCTTTCAATTAATTTATTGTACTAATTTACAGGCTCTAGGTTTGACGGGGCAAAAGTTGCTTGGAGTTCCTATTATAGTACAACATACACAAGCAGAAAAGAACAGGGTAGGCAATACACTGCCAAACTTAGCACCAAAAACCAGTAACGGACCAACGAGACTATATGTGGGTTCATTGCATTTTAACATTACAGAAGACATGCTACGCGGCATTTTTGAACCTTTTGGAAAAATCGATCATATTCAACTTATGACGGACCCTGAATCAGGAAAAAGTAAAGGATATGGATTTCTTACTGTAAGTACATTTGTAATGCTTATTTTATAACTTAGTTGTATATAAGAAATCAAGTTGTAGTAATGATAGTTTTGTAAAAATATTTATCAATTAAAACAAAGTCTATATATAAATTAAGATGGAAATGAAGAAATCCACGATTTCTCAAAATCCCCGTAGATATTTAATTTTCTGTTCTTGTAAATTTTTTGTTTGTGATGATAATCATTGTAAATTCCATGAGCTAGTTGGTTATTGATTTGACAAACTGTGAAACTGGCTGTGAGAATGCCAAAAAATAAATTGAAATTAATTTATCACATAACATTTCAGTTTCATCATGCTGCAGATGCTAAAAAGGCGATGGAGCAATTGAATGGGTTCGAATTAGCTGGAAGACCGATGAAAGTTGGCAATGTCACAGAACGAACTGATGGTGGTTCCAGCACTCGATTTGACGCCGATGAACTGGACCGAGCCGGTATTGACCTAGGTGCCACAGGACGCTTACAATTAATGTTTAAACTTGCAGAAGGCACTGGATTACAGGTAAAATGTTGAAATTATTGTATTCTTGGATCAAATTTGCCAACACTGCAATCTTTGTGTCATTGACTGATCACATTTCAAGATATTCTAGTAAATCCTATACATAATCTATAACTTGGTACAGTATTATAAAATTATGTTTAAACAATTTCAAGTTAGTACTTGCACAAATGTAATTAATGAATTGAATCAAAACACCACATGAAAAAAGTTGTCAGTTACTAATACGGCAGTGTTTTGCTGAAATATTAGGATTTACAAGAACATCTCAGTATTAGTCATTAAAACCAACCCATATTACAAGCGAAACCACTTCAATCCACATTACAAGTTCCACATGTTGGAGTTACAGTGAAGAAACATGATAAATGTATGTATTAACTATTGATAAAAGTCCCTTAATTATTTTCTCAGGCTACTTATTTTATCATTTTTGTCTGTAGTATGTAATTTTTATTTTGTTTGCAATAATATTACTGTTGGACATATTAAATATGCTAATTGATGCAACAAAGCTGTAAACAGGAAATAATGCGCATTGAATGTGTTTTCGTTTTCATGTAATAATATTATGTACCTACTTATTTTGGCATATACTACATACATTTGTTTTACAGCAGCAATCAAATTTCAGAAAAGGACAGTGTCTTTTAACACTATTTTTGGCACTGCTAAGTAATGAACAGCTGTTATTCTAGACTCACAGTAGACAATTTGATGCTACAAGATTCTTTTTAAAGAAATATACTATTGACACTCAAGCTCTTGTTGTGTTATGAGTGTAAAGTCACAGCTAAAACTATCAGCTATTTTTGTTTTAATGCTTATGTTATTGTTTACAGTGGTACAATGTAGTATGATAAAGTTGTCCCTAAGACCATTTGTAAGCTTGCATGTGTTTATTGATATTACTATTGGATGATTTTCTTACTGTATTATATAGTACTAGCTGACCCGGCAAACTTCGAACCGCCTAAAAGATTTTTCTCACCTTTTAAACCTTCCCTAGACTTACGCGAACCTATCAAGACCAAAATTAGCCAAATCAGTTCAGCCGTTCTCGAGTTTTAGCGAGACTAACGAACAGAAATTCATTTTTATTTATATAGATAATAAGAAAAGAAAGAAACTCCCAATACATTTAGGAGATCTCTAAGATAAAACTGTGTGTATAACTTTAAAATTAATTGTAAGCTGGTTGTGATTTCAGATACCACCTGCTGCAGCGTCCGTATTGATGGGCGCCGGTTCAGCGCTTGTTACTCCACAGCCTCAAGTAGCACCTCCCATTGCAACACAATGTTTTATGCTCAATAATATGTTCGATCCGGCCTCGTAAGTAGATTTTGTTTTAATTTTAAGTGATTTGTAGTGATGTCTTTCTGCAGTAAAATGAATTACTGAAAAATCCGTAATTTATATTAGTCTCAGTGTAACACATTTTTCTCCTGTATCATAAAGACAACCATAGTGCCTTATGTATATCTTGGGCTTCATCCCAAAACTTTATATCATTATTACTCTAACTTCAAATATTATTATAAAATTCAATTTATCAGACAAAAACCCATCAACTAAATAAAAAATACTTATAAAACTGCTTCTACATGATAAATGATAATATTTAACCAAGACTAAATCCTTCTAAAACAAAAAAGGCAATAGTACAATGGAACCCATTGGAAAGGGAAGACTATGCACGAAAATAATTTATAAGTTAAGTGGACTACAAATAGATGAGGTGTGCATTTTAAGGAGCAAATATGTACACTCCTCTCATAAAAATGTATCAACCCTAGCCTTAAGCGATAACTACTAACAATAATTCTTTTGTTGTTTCAGGGAAACAAATCCTAACTGGGACATAGAAATAAGAGATGATGTTATAAGTGAGTGTAATAAACATGGAGGAGTATTGCACGTATATGTGGACAAAGCATCTCCACAAGGAAATGTTTACTGCAAATGTCCAACGATAGCGACGGCGGTGGCCTCAGTCAACACGTTACACGGCAGGTGGTTTGCCGGCCGCGTCATCACTGCGGCTTACGTGCCACTTGTGAACTACCACTCTCTATTTCCTGATGCTATGACTGCACTTACTCTGTTGTTGCCAACAAGACAACGATAAACCACAGCAATAAGCATTTATATTTTAATATTTTGGTCTTTAATGTATACTGATAAATTTAATATCTAGTGAGGACCTAACTCTAGTAATAATAAAGTTATTATTATGTAAACTAACTAGACTATTATTTCAATTTCTCTTAATATAGAGTACAAATTTATATACAATTCCACTTTATACGATTTTGTTAATAAAACAACATGTTACAGACAACTTGGGTGTAGAATATTAGACACTATTTAAATGAACTTAAACAGTAGTAATAAGAATGATAAAATTTATTTTATTGTTGTAATTTTAAACTGCTCTTATCCAATCTATCTCCAAAGTTGCGGGACCCTTCTGCTTCACAGGTTGGTAAACTCCACCATACATTTGTATACCGATACTTGAAACTTGTGACAAATCTAACAATTCATTGTTAGTTACTCTTTTACCTCTGTAGTAAGCTTTAAACTCTGAGAACTTGAGATTACGAATGGCAAAGTCATCTTTTGGTGCCTGAAAATTTGAAAGAGAAACCCATTCACAGTATTAGGTACATATTATGTCGTAGTTACATCGTAGATTCGAAATGGCTGAATTTTATGATGAATTTGACTAATAGTAGTATAAATTCTGTGCAAGTAGTAGTGCAAAGTAGTCCCTACTATTTATTTACAAGATGCAGTGTTACAAAATACACATCTAAACAAAAAAGTGATTATAACATTTTTTGTCTGTGTGTGTCTTGTATATTCAAGCAACTCGCAAAAGCTACCTATCCGATAACGATGAAACTTTATATAATTACACTTTATTAACATCTTAGGCATATATCAGATTGAGGACTTTTAATCCCGAGAAAATAAATACACTAAAAAACAAACTTAATTCTGCGGCTCGATCCCCCGACACGACTACCTACTGTATCAAACGCAAGTAATTATGTTTGTCGAATGTTATGTTACTGGTCGAAATTAGATTGGCTGCGACATTAACAAACTACCTTGTGAAAAATGAGAGACTGGAAAGTCTTTTCATGATGTTATTAATTAGGCACTGAAGAATAAACTGTGTTAGCTTTGTAGATAAGCTGTGTGTATACCATTCGCAAAGGAATGATCTAATAACAAACAATGACGTAAATTAGATAATTTTTTAAAGTTAGTTATAATTCGCTGATAAGTATTTTGTTTTAACCAATTAAATCTCATTTCTGTAAAATCATTGTCAATAATGCATAACATAACATCACGCCTTTTATCCCCGTAGGGGTAGGCAGAGGTGCACATTATGGCACTTAATGCCACTGTACAATGTAACACCCACTTTTCACTATTTATGTTATGAGTCCCATGTAATAGGGGGTGAGCCGTTTGCCATATACCGGGCACATTTCCAGACTCCGTGCTATTACTGAGGTTTTTACAAACCCAGTAATACTTTGCCCGACCCGGGAATCGAACCCGAGACCCCTTGCCCGGCAGTCGCACTTGCGACCACTCGGCCAATGAGGCAGTCAATAATGCCTAAGTAGTTAATTGTATTCCCTAATTTCATTATATAGGTCTCAAAACCGAAATCAACTAATGACAATAGCCAATTAGGTGCCTACCTAATCATACATTTTAAAATACTTTCGAAATGTTAATTTTACTCATGATTTCCAAATTCTCGACCAAGTTACAAATATAAAGTTAATGGTGTATGTTCCCTAATAAAAAATAACTAGGTACCTCTTCGGTCTTGTAGTCGGTGCCGCGACAGCAATCGAGAGAGCTTGCTCGGCAAGCTTTTCTCTGGATTTGATTCTTGCGTCGGTCAAAGTATTAAATCTCTTCACCCCTATTGGCCCTATTGCATGGATTTCGTGTCCGTGTTTGACCTATTTCATATCACGCCAAGTAAGGTAAGGACTATACATGAACATAAAGATCCCCGCAACTGCCTGGAAGGTAAGCGATGTGTACCTGATGATTTTCCCCCCTCTACCTACCTATCTACTTCAAATGCAAATTCGCAAGCTAGTTTGAAATTTATAAAAAGAAAATTACCTGGAAATATTGCTCAAATGAATAGTTGGGCTCGTCATTTAAACCTTTATGCCGTAAAGTAACTTTGAATCCATTAAATTGCCCTTGTCCTCTGCATTTAATTTGTAGCTTTGTGTAACCGGTAAGATTGTATGTTTGAATAGCTCGTATTCCAGCAAAACCGGCTCCATTTAATTGAGGATTTAAAAGAGCAAAAAATATAGCTCGTCTGAATCCAACATTTTTGTGAATAACAAAGATGGCCTTGGACATGCCGACATCTCGTACGGTATCCGATTGTTCTTGCCAGACGTCTACGTCACCATCCTTTGTGAAATCAAATAAATACTGCCCGTCATCGTGTTGACTTGTGCTGTAAATTTAAAATAAATTATCATTAGGCACCTTTTACCTTCCTATTATACAAGTAGGTATTACCTAATATTATACCATTATATTCACAGAAAATATTATATCTAGATTTATAATTAACTATATTATACTGATGGCGTAATATCCGCTGGCAAAGATACTGTAGGTACTATATGGGTACCGTACTAAAGGATTTAGGTAGGTATAGATAGATTTTTAACTTTGAAACCGAAAATTAATAAAATAGGAGTAACACTGCGCAGTTATAATGGGGAGCAGAAATAATTAATAGAATAATCAAAATTCCAACAAATTAATAATAAAACTTTCAGTGCCTACACTTATTATTTGTTAAAGGTAGGTGTGTAGGTACTTAACTTTCACTGTCAGATGCGTCGTTTAGATCTATTTCACTGACTCCACACGTGTTACTTTCGATAGCAGCCATTTTGAAAGTCAGAGGTTAGCCTATCAAGCGTGGACTCATTTTGATATAATTTAGAACGCGTAACATATTACAATAAGTACATATTCGGGTTGACAGCTGCTCTTCTTGAGACCTATTTTTTGTAGGTATTTTAAATATGGAACAATTTTCCAACTGACATACACTGGTGGATATCATTTGGGTATTGATCTTTAAGTAAAATAAATAAACATTGACAATGAACCTCACAATCGATAAAAACTTTAGAGGTGTCTTTAAAATGAGATATTGAAAACAAAAGATAACTACCTATATGTACCTACATAGGTAGGTAAGTAGGTACCTACCTAGTTTACTTGTGATAAAATATTATTTTCTTAGTGTTAGTGCATTGCATACCTACAATATAGTGATTTTCGGATAAATATCTACGCAAAATGGATAAATAGGTACTAAAAACGGATAAATACTCAGTATTTACTCGACATTTGTCCATTTGGTTTGAGTACTTAGTTATCCGAAAAATCGCCCATCTTGGTCATAACGAAACCTGTTCATTTACCTAGGTACCTAATTGAACACCTAGGTTCCTAACCTACCCATAATTGCGTAACAACTAATAACTGTTAACCTTTTTACTTAATGATTTTTAATTTTGAACACATTTTTTTTTAAGGGGGACTCATCGAATGACTGCTCCCGTCTCGGTGAGGTGGGAGGGAGTGTCAGACTCTTACTTTGACTAAAAACCACCCCGTTCCTTCTCCTGCACGTCGAGCCGGAGCCCCGGTAACCCGTTAGATTCTTCGCGACATTTTGAACACACTACAAACTGAATTTTGTGGAGAAATAGGAATTAAAAATTTTATTTAGGTAAGTATGTTCTGTTATTTAGAAGATATTCTACGGATACATTTTAGATAGGTAGGTAGGTATATTAGGGAAGATACGTCATACTATTCTATGGTACCTAATATTAGGTGGGTAAGTACCTACCTACCTACCTACTTTTTTAGAAAAGAAGAAAGAAAATCATCAACTGACTCCGCCCACACCCGGGAGGAATCTCAAACTCTAAAAATATTAAACACACCCAGTAATAACTCCTATCTTGTGACACGGCCCACGGATAGCCTGGCCTGCAAGTAACTCCGCAGGAAGTATGTAGATACCTACCTAAACCTAGCAGGACTAGTACTACCCAAAGTAAGTGCCTTGTAGTTGGATCCAAAGTTAGGCAGGTAAGAATTATAATATTGTAATTACCAACAAATCTCATAGCTCACTTTTCTAATATGGAAACGATACCTAAATAAATGATTTAAATATTTCACTAACCTGTTATCACATACGCCATAAAATAGTGCAAAACAAAGAAATAAGTAAATACATATCACTTTATCATTTAACATTTTAAATTAAATATTACGAATAAAAATTATTTAAACTGCTATTGCTTCAACTACACCGTATCAAATACTTACTAATAACTACTCGTACGAATTATCTGGTATTACATTTATTTGAATAAACAAAATGAATTTATATAGTAATATTGAACATTTGACACTGTTATCTTTTAATAATGTTATTGACGTCTAAGAGTCTTGACTCTGATTTTACACCAATAAGCGTGCCATATCTTAATGTTTCGTAGAATGAAAATGTATATGTAGGTATTTATAAACACTAACTACTCGTTGAAGTCCCGTTACTTTGTCATTAACCCGGTAGTCGAATGCGACTATCGCGCAAGGGTCTCACTGTCTCAGGTTCTTTTCCCAGTTTGTAAACTACTGTACGCAGTTTACTGATAGTATTTTTCTAAAATTGTTATGATTCCTTTTTGGATCTTTTCATTGGTTCACATCTGGCGTGCGCACGAATTAAGAACAGCACGCATGATCATCACTAAATAGTATAAAACAAAGTCGCTTTCTCTGTCCCTATGTCCCTTTGTATGCTTAAATCTTTGAAACTACGAAACGGATTTTGATGCGGTGTTTTTAATAGATAGGGTGATTCGTAAGGATGGTTTATATCGAACAAGACTATCGTGCCAGACCCTGTCGAAGGCCTTCGAGACATCGAGCGATACAGCTAACGCTTCCCCGTGTTTCTCGATGGCCTCGCTCCAGATGTGGGTGGCATATGCAAGAAGGTCCCCAGTAGATCGGTTTCGGCGAAATCCGTATTGCTGATTACTAAGGATATCGTTACCTTCAAGGTATGCCAGGAGCCTGTTATTCAGTCTCACAGAGTTATTCAGTCACTCTTACAGAGTATGGACGTGACTGAGATAGGTCTGTAGTTATTAGGGTCGGCACGGCTACCGTTTTTAGGCACAGGTTGCACGTTGGCCAGCTTCCATGCTAGTATTACATATTAATACATATTATGTCAAAATGCTAACCACCTATCATTTGGAATTGTATGATGATTAATTATTATTATTATGCGTAAAAGACGTCCAGTAATAATAACAATAAGGCGTAATCTGTTACCTACCTTGAATACAGACAATAATGTTTCTATTAAGTAGGTACCTACTTATGCAATGTGCTGCACATTGCATTATGTGCATGAATCAGTGAGAAATTTAATTATACCACCCGACACTGGCAGTAGGTATAGTTGACAACATCGTATTGGAGATTCGGTTGACAAAGAAAAAAAAAAAATTATGTCGGTTCGGCTCGGTCGTTCCGAAATTGAACAGTAGTAGAGACATCAATCAGCGGTATCATGAAGTATCATGTTTGATCAATACACAGGCCATTGTTTGTTTTATCATGAATAAGTGCCAGTACAGACAACCAGTAAAGTGCGAGTCGAACTTGCGCACGTAGATTTTCACATCTATAGGTACTTATATTTTGTTGGATTTCTAAATTACAAAAAGACTGTGTTCAATTACAAATTAGCACAGTAGTTGATAGTTTGGCTGTTGCGCTGCGTGTGTACCTACTCTACCTAGCGTAGAATTAACTATGAGGTAGTTCGTAAGATAGGTAGTAAGTTTTAGTATTAGTAAAACGATGTGAATAGAACGGAGGGGCTGAATATGAATACATATTATAATTATAATAACATAACATCACGCCTTTTATCCTCGAAAGGGTAGGCAGAGGTGCACTTAATGCCATTGTACAATGTAACACCCACTTTTCACTATCTATGTTATGAGTCCCATCATCCCATGTAATACTGGGGGTAAGCCTATTGCTATATACCGGGCACAATTCCAGACTCCGTACTATTACTGAGATTTTTAAAAAAATACCTATTAATAAAACTTTTGGCCGACTCGGGAATAGAACCCGAGACCTCTTGCCAGACAGTCGCACTTGCGACCACTCAGCCAGCGTGGCAGTGAATATATAACAGTATTATAACTACTGCTCCGCTATTAGGCTATTACTGATTGTTTGTTGTGTAATGTTATACAGCCTACAGGCTTATTATATAAATCTACTATAAAACTCAAAAATATATATAATTATTTATCAAATACGAACCAGTACTTTAGGAGATTAGCGCGATTATAAACAAACAAACACTTTAGCATTATGTAATAAAATTAAAAAAAGAATTCTCTGCAAAGACATCATGGTAAAAACCATAAAATATAGGTCAGCAGTGGTACAATCACGGCTAGGAAAAAATAGTACAAAAAAACATACTTATGTATGTAACTGAATAATAATAATAAAACAAAGAGTTTTGATTAATACATATTTATTTCCCTCCACCAGTATTCACACTGCGCTTTAAAACGCCTACATTTCTGAGATATCGCACAATAAAAGGTGTAGCAGTGAGTGTTATAGCTATCCTAAATGGCGCAAAGAATTTGTGAACAGTATATGCTATAACAAAAGTGCCTGCATTTGATCCTGCTGCCTTCAAAATAGTGCCCTCACTTATGTTTAAATATTTTAGTACTGCAACTAAGTCGATGCCACTGAAAAAAAAAAAAATAGCTAATTAGCGATTACCATACAAATAATTTATTGAAATCTCTATAATTATTACGCAATAGTTATATGTATAAGATGAATGAATGGTGAATTAAATGAGATTGTTAAAGCAGTACAACATACCTAGATATTAGAAGATAGCAGCTCCCCAATGATATCAGGGAAATACCAATATGAAATACAATCACTGTTGAGCCATATTCTTTGATGGCTTGTTTTAACTTTTCTTTGGCACTCAGTGGTGGTTTTGAATCTGTACTCATATGTTTTATGCCAACAGCTATGCTTTGAAAAAAGGTAAACAGAATATTAACATCATGAAATTTAATTAAAAGTAGACATATTGACTTTCGGTTATAAGATATTTTTTAGATTCAGGAATTATTAGGGTCTATTTTATTTATAGACCATTATTACTTAAAAGTTACACACTACTTAAGTGCAACTGAATAATCAACTACAATGCAACAGATTTGTTGTGTTACTATTTCAAAATCAATTATTTTACTTCAAAACTATGACTACAAAAACAATTTTTAATAATTTTCTATCAAACAAAAGCAATGTATGAGTTGAGTTGGTTAGTTCGATGGGAAACATAGTAAACTTAAAATCAAGCCCAATATAATTATAATGTTAAATAAATTATTCATTATTGTTATTATTTTAATTTATAAAGCATCATGCACAGAAACAAGCACATGGGTGGACTTAATGCCATAGGTATTTCTCCCTTCAGACAGGGAGAAATGTCTGACCCTTGGGTGATACAAAGAAGAGCAGAGTAAACTGCGGGTGCAAGAAGCATTTTAGAAGAATGCATTCCTTTTACATGCTTATAAGTTCCTATATCTTGATCAGGTAGTTATTATAAAATATAAACTTGTATTAGTTATACAGTCATTTTACCCAGGCAACAAATATTATCATCATCACTAACAGATCATGTTAGTCCACAGCTAGACTATAGGCCTCCTCTACATAATATTGTTGAGAGTGCCATAATGCCCTGCTGGTTTGAAATCCCACTTCATAAGGGTCAGGTTTATCAAAGAGTGCTGCAACCAGCAAGTTTGTTACAGTTACAACTAACCAGCTGTGTGTTGTGTGTCAGTGCATTTTATTGTATTATCATCGTCACAATAATATCAATATACTATTGGCTACATACCGTCTTTCGTCATTCTGGAACGATACTCATTTCTTAGCGTCAAGTAATGAGCACCATGAAGATGATCAGATAAATATTTGTACCCTTGGCCCCACTGTGAGCCTGGCATATTTAGATGGGTATGGTTTCCACTGAAGGGGCTGGGAACATTGCTTTGCATAGAAGACGATAAACTGACAGCTCCACGGCAATCATATTTGTTGACGTGTGGATCTGACTGCACAGTTATGTCAATTTTCCCCAAGTCAATTTGTTTTTTGTAACAAGAACTGATAACTGGACCAGAAATATCTCGTTCCCTCAGTGGCGAAAACCGACCCGTTTCCGATGCATTTATATCGACGACATTTGTCGGCAACTTCAATGCAGCTGCGGGGGGAAATTTAAGACTTGTAGTGACGTGGATGCGATTAGTGTCCTGCGCATTGATATTGGACAATCCTCCTGAAAAGATTAACAATAAATATGTTAAAGCCGGTGTTTTTCCTTTGTATACAAATCGAACAAACAATCATCAAGGTCACAATACTTACCAAACAATGGATTTGCCAAATTATATTGTTTACTGCTAAAATAATTGTTTGACCTCATATAAATTTTATACATTTTGGAAAATTTTAGTACATATGACTAAACACTTGATAGCTTATTTAGTATAAAAACTAAGTGGAAATTCCCCGTTATAAAAATGATACACGTAACTAAATTGACAAACTCGATATGAGACAGCAGACAGGAGGGTGACAGATGATAATATTATTGTCAGCGACAAAAATAATCAGTGCTTCCTCAGGAATAAATGCAAATCTCAAATCGTTTCCTTTTTGACGAAAATCAAATCATAATATTGCATTATTGTAACTAACATTATTTTTAAAATTCGTTTAACGACAAACAATTTGAAGTAAGCAAGCGAATTTTATATACCTACTGTAATTTTAATAATTATTAAATATTTTTTGAGATCAAACGATTTCGAATTCGGTTAGCACATAAAAATAACGCACATTTGTATTGCAAAGGTAATTAGTCATAGATAGATTTTGATAATGATCCTTACTTGAGACTGATGAGACTTCGTTAGCGCCGAGCCCTTTAATTTATTCCGTAGTCTTTAATACGTTGGCCAGCAGGTCAACCTACATATGCTTCTCTGTCAAATTTCTCTATTAAGTCTTCAACTCGTGTTTTACAGATACATATTTTATAGATTGGAGTAGGTTGAACTGCTCGCCACTGTACATAACGTCACGTAGGTTTCAAGCAGAGAAAGAAACTACTAATAATATTATGTAGTTAGACCAACACAGTCCACGAACAGCCGACAAAACACTAAAACTAATTTGACTGCTTTTGAAATAAAATTATTAAAAATAAAAGCTAATAAAACACAGGATTTAGAAAATAAGTAGATTAAACAATTTTTCCTTATTTAGGTAATAATTTATTAGTTATATATTAACCAACATAACACATCACATCTTTAAAGTAATATTGTGCATAAATACCTAATTCTACTTAAAATGTAAATCCGAAACCAAAGCTATGTGATCAGAAGGAAAAACTACACTTGGCAATGCTGTATGTAATTTCAATTCGTCGACAGACGGAAGAGGCACTACCTGTAATAAAAGACAAGTATTTATAAAAAATATGCTTAACTAGGGATCTTTGAATTCAACTGAATACATATAAATTTTTTTATAATTTTCTATTAAATAGGGTGATACCTGTTCTACTTCTAAGTTAGTTTTGTCATAAAATATGTAATCCAGACAGTCTGCAAATTCAGCAGTAAAATTTGTGTATACTGGTGTGCCACATGCACTTTCTAAAGGAATATTTTGTTGCAGGTTTAAATCATAAACAGCTTCATTAATATCTGAAAATTGGGATAAAAAAGATTAGTTTCAAATTCTGATTTTTTAAAATGAAATTATTGTAATTTTGTCTTGTCCACCTAATTAACCTGATTTTAAATATTTTTATGTATTTGTGTAAACTAATTTATTACTGTATAAAAAAAAAGGCTTACAAAAAATACACATATCACTAAATACTTACCTGTGCAATGTAATAAAAAAATGAATGAAGTAATAATTTATTGATATTATACTCACTAGACTTCCAGTCTGGCAAACTACTTGGCGAAGCACCTGTAGTGTACAACTGATAAATGCCACATGTAGGAACACTATTGAAATCACCACATAGTATGACACTTATCCTTTTGTCTGGATACTGAAATGCAAATACATACTGTTTACATTATATTGATTGAATAAGCAATGTACACCTTTGCTTCTGTTTACAAAACATAATTATATCAGTAGACTAGCTGCTATGGGGTTTCACCCGCTCTGCTCAGTTCCTATTGATTGTAGCGGTTTTATAGCCTATAGCCGTCCTGGATAAATATAGATAGTAGTTCCTGAGATTAATGCATTTAAACAAACAGCATTTTAGCATTAAAATATAATAATATAAGATTTAGTAGTCATTGACCGCACCTTAGATCTCATGTTATCAAGAATTTCCTTTAACCAGTAGATGACAGCACCTCCTTGTAGCAGTCTTATGTGGTCAGCATCAGGATGGAAATACAAATGTGTATTACCAACAATTAAAATCTCATTCGGATTGTCAATGGAGTGTAAGAATGTGGCACTAGCCACAGTTGACCTATCTAATAATCTGTCTGTTAGTGGTTTGTTGTCTTTTATCTTTTCCCAAATTGTTTGGAGGCATGATTTACTTTTTAAAGCATCAGATAGAACTATGCATTCATCTCCTAAAAATCTGTAAAAAAACAGGTTTGATTTTGTATTACAATAATGTACTGAAAAGACTCTCATCCTCTGTTTCTTTACAACAAAACAATAAAGTTGATATAACAAATATGTAAGTAAAATTTACATAACCATATAGAACAGCCTGTATTTACAGGGTGTAAACAGAAAGCTCCTGAAAAAGGCTGACAGGTTATGGTAAAAACAAGTCTTATTTTCATAAAAATAAGGAATATGTTTTTTTTATGTAATAATAGTTGTAATCAATTACTCAAAGCTAATGTTGTATGAACAATACATACATAAAAACACTTTTTTAAAAGAAAAAGAAAATAAAAAATATTACAAAACCTTTTTTGTCAGTTTTCAGGAGTGGTCCGTTTACACTCTGTATGTAAATAAATTATGTGTATGCTCACTCAAATCTATCTCTTCTATAGAAACAAGATAATCCTTCAGCAACTTGTTTCCCCTTCTTGTAAAATACACCATTTAGGCCTTCAGAGTCCATGAGTGGTTGAAGGGTACTTTGAAATATTTTCGAATCAACCTCTTGTAGACATATTAAATCACTATTGTACCCTGAAAGAATATAATGAAATTACTTCCAAACTTATTAAAAAATCTTGTTGATTAGTGTACTTATAGAGATGTACATTTAAAAAAAACTTACCAAATAATTCTTTTAATATGAGTTGTTTTCTATAGTCTATGTGTAAGGCATAAGCAGGACAGTATGGATATAAAAATGTTCTAGTATGATCTGAGTCACAGTAGAGATCTGCTAAAATGTTATATGATACACATCTGAAGCTGTAAAGAAAAGTGATTAGTTATTATTAATTTTTATTGTTAGTACATTCAAGTTGGTAGTTTAGGTACCTTTTAAGCTTTAACTTTTGCTTTGTAAATAAGTGTCTGGTTTCAAACGGACATGTGCCAGGGCCAGCTTCAACAAGATTTTTAGAAATAGATTCTACTGCAGGACCTACCAGCTCATCATTACCTGAAAGTATTTTAATGATTGTTACAGCTAGTTATTTTTCTTTTGGAATGAAATAATATGCTGTAGGGGTAGGAAAATTCAAACTCGAAACAAAAAAATACATTTAAAC